TTCTATTTTAACCCGCGCAGCTTTTCTAGCATTTACTGTACTGGTTTAGCGGACCGGGAAACTTCATCACTTCATCACTTCATCACAGGGGCGGCTGTGGCTCAGGAGTTAGAGCGGGTTGGCCGTTAATCGGAAGGTCGGCGGTTCAATCCCTTGCGTGTCGAAGTGGGCAAGATACTGAACCCCGATTTGCCCCTGGCGGCTGTTCCAGCCAGTGTATGAATGAGTGTAAATGCTAGTACTTAGGCTTATACTAGTGTATGAATGTGTGTGACTGGTGAATGCAGTAGTGTAGTGTAAAAGCGCTTTGAGTGGTCGAAAAGACTAGAAAGGCGCTATACAAGTACGGAGCATCACTTCAAGCTACACTTTTTATTACATTTTTTCTAAAAATTAGGCCCTGATAAAATTAGTTTACTTAAATTTAGAATTTATTATTTGAATAGTTATTATTTATTATCCCTCCAGTTTGATGTGAAAACTGAAATATTTGATTGACAGTCTAACTCTAACTGGACCTCTTTGAATTCTAATTGAATACCCCTGCTCTATATTAATATATTCTTTTTAAGTTCTGTCTGCATGAGGGGACTACAGACTTTCTTTTCGTTATTCAACCTTGTTATATAATGATGAATAAACAACCTTGTTTATCTTCCAGTCACGGCAGCAGCAGTTTGTTTGTGACCTGTGTTTTTTGTAGACTCTTGTTTCTTGTCTGTCTGTCTCTGATTTTTTATTTTTGTTCTGATGGGTCTGGTAGTCCTGTTTTTTTGGCTTTATTTCGGTTTGGTTAGGTTCAGTTTAAGGTTGGTTTAGGGTAGAGGGGAAGACTCCCGATCCTACGGCCCTTTTTGGGCTGGTCTGGAGGGCTTCCCTTTCTTTTGTTCATTTTGGCCAGCCCATCACACTTGTTTTGTTTTTGAGATTTTGGGGTTGATTTATTTAATTAACTTCGTGTTTTTGGCAACTCTTGACTGTTTTGGATTGTATTAGACCTGTTTTTAGAAGTTGTTCTGTTTTGCACTGAAACATATTAAAGGAGACCTATTCTGCTTTTCCACATTTATGTCTCATGTACAATGTTGAAGGGACATTATGGAGTTTTCTGTGCCACTAGTGGTGTGGCTCTAAGATTGCAACCAGGCGTGTGCTCGTACGCGTGCTCGCTTGAACTCATGAGCGAGCATAATCCGAAACACAACCGCTGTGATACAGAAATCCTGCAATAAACGCAGAAACACCTGCATGCAGGCTGTGGCTTTTCAGACATATTCAGGTTCTGTTACTTCAGTGTTCTTGGCTCAGAGGCAGATCTGGCAGAGCTATAAAACTATAGTATCATAAGGGATAACGTTAGCAACTTGTCGGCGTTAGCCTGCAAGCTAACATTATCTAACTTGAGCCAATTAAAATACAAAATCACATTTTTCACATGCTTTGCAGTAATGTTAGTTTACCTGTCCAACTGGATGAAAGCCAACTCTGTCGGTTTTTATACAGGGTTTCCACAGGGTCTTAAAAAGTCTTAAATTTCAAAGTCAAAATTTAAGGCCTTAAATAAAAAAAACAAAATTATTATAATAGTAATAATTTTAATCAGGTCTTAATTCTTCCAACGTCCATGTAACGCTGCCTCTAATGCTCATTTACACTCATTATTTACATCTGTGGAGAAACACACAGAAAGAGACGCTGTGGATATTGTAAAGCAACGCTGAACACAGCTGTTGCTGACAATGTCATTCATACCACAGTGGTCTCGATCGGTAATTAACAATAAGCCTCTGCTGCTCGGGAAATGGAATCGTGGGTGAAAAGATACCAAACGCCAGTTCTTTTAAATAAAACTGCTGACAAATAATGTCATAGCCGACAGATAGAGATGGACAGACAGGTTCAGGTGTGTGCTTCTGTGTCTGAGGGGAAAAGCAAGGTTAGCAGGTTAATGTAGTTTGTGATTAAACACAAAAATAAATTGGAGAATTAAGAAGAATTAAAATGGTGTGCAATTTATTTTCAGCTCCTTCCAGTGAAAATGCTAATGTTATTATATAATCAGTGTTTCATTATGACCGTACAATTGAATGGACCCCAGAGAATAGCTAACATTTATAGGCTACTGGTGCTGATGGGGATCCTAATAAAAATAGATTTTTCCAATAAATAGTTTGTGTATGCTGTTAGAAATCGGCATTGGCATTTTAAAAAATCAGTAACTGGAATCAGCCAGGAAAACTAATCTGCATCTCTTACTACAGCGATAATCCTGTATGTGAACCGATATTAGGTTGATACCGTAGATCTACGGTTGTGTTGGCTTTTGCGCATTATGATAAGTGGCAGATCAGTTGGCCTGCTCCTGTTAAATATCTAAAATATATATGTGTGTGTGTGTGTGTATATAAGATACATCCTCTATCCCAGAATAAGCCTAAATTACTATGTAGCCTAAAAGACACTAGTTATTTTGGATAATATGGCCGCGTGGTGAACCTATGACCTTAAGTCGCACTTAAACAACTATTAATTTGTGGTGTTGGCCAGATTTACGCCCATGCTTCTGTAATACCAAATTGAGAAAAATCCTCTTAACTTAAAACACTTAAGATAGGAACTTTCTGTAATACTGCCCCTGGACAGTACTGTACATCTTGATAGTTAAATTACATTAAAAAGAAACCACCGAGGAGCTGAGGTTAGCAACGTTAAATCAAATTAGAGATGCAAACTAGTCCTTTTAAAGGAGACCTATTTTGCTTTTTTTCAAATTTTATGACTTATCTACAATGTTATAATGTTGGATGTTCATGTTAAACATGACCAAAGCTTCAAATAATGAGGTTAAAGTATTTCTAAGAAATCCCTGTGAGCAAAAACCTCAGATTTCCTCCTGTTCTGAACGCTCTGTTTTCAACTTATTTTTCTACCAGCGGCTCCGTTCTACGTAATACGGAGCCGCTGTTCCATATATGGTCATGTGCTCCCACACTAACGGCACGGCAACGCTCAGTCTGCCTGTTCCGCCCAGCAACAACAACAACAGCCTGGTAACATGTTTCAGGTCTTGGCCAATCAGAAGACAGTGGGGGGCCTTAAAGAGACAGGAGCATCTACAGCTTGTTTCAGACAGAGGCTGAAATGAAGGCCTGCATGAAGAGAGAGAGTAAAAGAGGCTCAAAGCTGCTTGTTGCAGCACAATGAACTTAAACTCATTGTGGAGAGCATCAAAACTAACCACATGATCTAATGGTTATAATTCAAACCCAGTAGACTTATTTAGCATGTTTAGCTTTTGTTAGTTGTAAATGTATCTGCTCTGCCTCGACTTCTCTCTGCACTCACACCTTTACCTCTGGTCTCTCAATGCAAACACACCGGCTTTCCCCGCCTCTCTATAAAGTCGCTGAGAAAACACAGAACTCGTCTTTTTTTCTTGATATTTCCACCTGTGATCCTTTTTAACGGCAGCAGGTGCACATCATGCCAGCTTGGTAATTACGTAGCTTATCAATGTCATCGTACATCCCGAAGTTTCATTGTTGACGTCGTCCAATGCAAGCGGGGAGCTTCCAGTCACCGATCTGATGCGAACACGGAAGTCCCTGAAACCTGCATTCTATTGGACGGCCAGCAGGGGGCGACTCTTCTGGTTGCAAAAAGAAGTCCAACTCCATTAGAACTTACATTATTTCTCAGCTGATTTATTCCCTCAGTAAACACTTTCCTGATGAGTTTATGGTCTCAGTCGCTAGTTTCAAGTCTTCTTCAACACAGCATGATGTTCATTTAGTAAATTATGGTCCCATTTAGAGGAACATAGACCAGAAAGAGTCCCCACGGCACTGTGTAAATTTAACCAGCGCCGTTGAAAATGCTTATCAGGAGTCGGCTGTTCACTTTCTCTGGTGAGCACATTTAGTTTTAACTTTGTCTAGCGAACAACAGGTTTATCAGCCCTGTTAAAATGGCAGTTAACGTGAATTACAGATGCACCTAGCTAAGCAAGCTAGCTAGCTCTGCACACGGCTGTTAACATCACTTCTGGGCACTTCCTGGTTGCAAAAACTAGCGCCCTATCGGCCAAACTCGAGGCATTAAAATGGCAGTCCACAAACAAACGGGTGACTACGTCCGCTTCTAATATACAGTCTATGGTTTAATGCCAATTCTGTAGACATCACCCAACCCTAATTTGAATACATTTATTTACTCTACAAGTAATTTTGTGACCGCATTTCCTTTGTACATTTTTTTTTTTTGTCGTGATATAGGTCTTAAATTTCATTCATTGTGGCCTTAAAAAGGTGAAACCTGCAGAAACCCTGTTATATTCAAAACAAAGCGGAGGTCTCCGTGACTCAAACGCCTTTCCCATATTGACCGTGTTTTTCCTGATGTCTATTTGACTCTTGTTTGGCATGTTGTGTTGGAAGTTTTTATTTTTTTGTAGTTGGTGGACTCCCATTTTGTTAGCTGCAGTGCTGTCACCTTGTGTACGGTTCATAAACAGCACACGGATGTGACAAACTACATAATCCAATGGATTGGAAACAGCATTAGAGGCTGTAACAGAGAAAGCCGGCAAATGGTTTGTTTATGTGAGGTTCAAATCTGTTCACAATTAGGCAATCAAAATACTACATTTAGCCCCATTTTTAAATTGCTGCTGCACCACCAATATGTATTCACTACATAATAAGACATTCAGTAAGCTATTTACTGCAGTACATTCAAACTTCTGGATGAGGTTATCCTCCTCTTCCAGAGGGCTTCGGTTCTCAATCACAGGACATCTAAGAAGGACGAGTGAAAAATGTCCAGTTTGACAATCTGTCTAAACCAAGGTCAGTTCTGCAGTCACTTTATTTTACTCCCGCTCTTCTTCTCCCTTTTCCTGTTGTCTTTTATTCTCCTCCTCTCCCTCTTATCTTCGACTGTAAATGCTTCTTTCTTTTAAAAATGAAAGTTTAGACTAATCAGATGTTTTCTACTTCCAGTGCACCCAACAGGAAAATCCTTCTGTTCCCTGTGTGCAAGAACAGCCAGACAGATAAGTAAGTTTTCAGTAGTTTCTCATGCCGTCTGCTTGATGTGACATTTCTATTCCACTGGATTTGAAAGAAGAAATTTGCTTGCATGCCATCTACTCTGTCTGCTGTTGGGAGCTGCTGTAAATACAAATACCTGTTTAGGCTGGTTGCTCAGAAGGTGATTCTAACAGGAGTCGAATCTTTTAAACAGTTGCATTATCACTTTACAGTAGACCACGTCTCCAGGATGCTGAAGTGAGGATGAGGAGACAGGAGACCTCCTGGCAAAGGTGAATACAGAAAATCACGCATGTCCACTTTTGTTTCTCTACTCTTTCCACGTGTGCAGATTTAGTGCTGATCTTTGTATACATTTGCAAGACAAACACTGTAGACACGCCAAGTCTAGGTTAGGAGTTGCATAACTAGATCCCGCTGTGAACGTTTTAAAATAAACTTGAATATGGCTTTAGCTCGGGGGCGGAGCTTCATCACGGGGCCCACCTGCTACATTTAAAGTTTACATGACCCCGGACTCGCTCCAAAAGTCCACTGAGTCCGTCTGCGTCCCTGCTGCCGGAGTTGATCGCAGCCACAGTAGAAGCACAGAAAGCAAGCGCTAATCACCAAATCAACAAAATATAAACGTGTCGGCAAAACGCTCTTATTCTGAAATGCTCCCTTCGGTAGCTGCTAGACGCACCTGTCAAGACGAGGAACGAAAGCGAGCCACGGAGCGCTTTGAAGAATGTAGTAGAAACACAAAAAGGACAATAAAAACAAGTCGTTAACGTGGGGCAGGCTGCGCTGCTGAAACGCTTCTGAGAGGCTTCCAGAGGAAGTTCACGCCGTAAATAAACCCTTGCGCAGCCTACGCCCCTCCCTCGGAATTCCCATGATGCACGAGGGGGAAGGGGGTTTTGCTAAAATGTGACTGAAAACATAAAATTTGAGATACATCTTGTTTTATTATGATTTAAAGACAGAAACATTTAATGAAGTTTTTAATTGTCGATGAAATGCTGTAGGCGACACAGTCCAGCCTCCACAAACTACTGCAGTACATTCAGTTTTGTATCACTGGCCACCACATGCTGTTAGTACACATTTAATTCTTCTTTACATGAACTGTTGTTTCTGTCAGTACTGTATTTTAAACCAGAGCCCTGAGTCATCACGCTGCATTCACTTAACCTGGGAATAATCATACACATTATTTCTCAGTTAAAAGCCACACAGAAATAATTCATAACAATCAGACTCCTTTAAATCAATCAGGACCGCCATGATTGTAGTTTTCTGTACTCACTTCTGTTTGGCCTTTTCGCATCAACGATTAACATATTATTCCTCACGCTCGCCGTATTTTCCTTAAAAATATCAGACCCAAACTCAAATTCCCACCAGTCAGATTCCACCTTTAAATATGAGCTGAGCAGTTTCCTAACAAGTATTGATCATCGTGGATCTGTAAGAAGCTCGGTGGCCGTGTTGATCAGACGTCTCAGAGAAATGTGTTGGGTTTTTTAGGGCTAGAAGGCGTCATGTGTGCACTCTGCGTGGGAGATATTGATGATTATGAGTGTTTTAAAAGATTTGTTTGTGGGTAAATGTAATCATTATTTGACTGACTGAGAGACTGTGCTCTCTCCACATAAACCGACGTCCTCCTCCCAGAGAACGGGAACAGCTGTGAAACTGATGGCGTTTCCCCAGAATTATTGTTTTTTTATTTTACTCAGTTTAGCTGCGTAACGGCTCGCGTGTTACGTAACTGCAACCCAAAATAAGATTTTACGCTTCAAATCTATTTTCTTGCATTTTAGGCGCGAAAATAAAATCGTAACACGTTTTTTGACGGACGTTTAGGGGAATGGTAATTTTTTAGCAGTTAATTTTCACCAAATATAAAAACAAAGATTTGTTTCTATACACCATATTGCACCAAAAAAAAAAAGCACGTTCCCTTCGTCTGGAGAAGATTTTTTTGGCCAAAGCATCTCTCTGTAGCTTCTTCTTTTAGAAACAAGATGTTAGGACACATTAAAAAAATTGCCGCTCCTGTGATTTGGATATTGCACTTGACCATATTCCGAATTATGACCTACACTCTCAATACTGTCCCTGAACACATCAGGACTGAAGCTATGGGAGAAAACATGCTTTTAATACCAATTGTGAGTTAATTTATTTCAATAGTTCTTGAGTTTTGAAGTAGGGCTGTTTGAGGTTCTTATCCAAAGTCTCTTTCTTACAGTTTGGAGAAACTTATGCGTGCCGGCACGGAGGCGCCGTCTTTTAAATCTATAGAAAAGTGAAGTTTGATTTCAGTCTGATGTTGCAACGGCCCTTTCTGACCCAAACTGCTGATCTCCGGCGGCGTGATAAGTTGCACAGCAAGGTTTCGAAAGTTCACTGGCTTAGAAAACGTAGCTCCAAAGGAAACTGCTGTTATAACTGATATATTCATAATATAGCGAACATTTAAAGTGATATTGGTTTCTCTTCTCTCTGCTTCTCTGAAGGGAAGATGCGCTGACCGACCGCCGTCTACTGCAGGTAATACTCTGACTGTGTATAAGTACCTCGTACAGCCACACTTCAAACACCTCGAACTGTCAAAGAGAGATGTTGATATTGTAACCATGTATTTCCCAACACTGAACATTACAGGATTAAAATGCTGCACCCCCCCACCTGAGGCGAGTTGCATAACAGGTAGCGTGGGACGATGTGATTGGACAGGGCTGAATGCCAGTAGCTCGTTGGTAACGGTCTTCTGGTCTGAGCTGGAGTGAATATCAGCGCCTGCACACATGACGCCTTTGTTCCATGAACGTTTCCGATTATTATTTCAAAGCGAGCGTTTCAGCAGGACGACCATGAGACGCTTGACAAACACGGGGCCAGGTTTACTTTTTCCCCGATTGCATGTGAATGCAGCATTATTACAAACACAAACCCACAAAACAAAAATAACAAACACATCCTCAGTTTCTGTCTGTCCTCTTTGACCACACGTCAACGCTGCCCGTCTCCTGGTTACTTCCTGTCGGCCCGCAGCGTCCTAGCTGAGGATTTTGTGGTAGGGGTGTAGCGGGAGGGAGGAGGTGAAAGCTCTGATGTCGGTGATGAGCGTGGCGTCCTGCAGGGATGGCGAGGAGGTCGGCAGGAACGTCAGCTCGTTCACTTCGCCGTACGCCGAGGAGGGAGGGCTGTCGGGGCTGCAGGCAGGGCTGCAGGCGGCGCTCAGTTCAGGCGGATCGTTCTCCTCCGGCCCGAAACCAACCACCTGAACGGGCAAACAAACTCGTGTTAAAAAGATTGTTAGAAGCGATAAACTAGCACAGAGCCTAAGCCCCTCCCCTTCCTGTGGACCGCCAATGGGACCTTTATTCTGGAAAAAAATGTCCAGGTAGTGATTTGAAAGATCGCAATTAGCAAATCGTGAAGACAGCGATTAAAATGTAGGTTAACTACACAGCGCAGTTATAAATTCATGCGGTTGTCGTCCTTGTGTGGCAGATCTGTTCGCCAATCACAAACGCTGTGCGCCTCCTGTTACGGTCCTACTCACCAATCAGAGCGGGGGACAGAGCGTGTACATTTTACAACAACTGGAAAACAAAACTGGGATCATGGCGGCAGCTGAACCGACCCGGTTTTGTCCGGCGTCGACTCGCACATTTCAGCAGCAGAGCATTTAACGTCATTAACGTGTCATTTTGTGTGCTTCAACTGCGGACACCAGCTCTGTGTGAGCTAACGTTACAGAATAAGAGCGTTCTACCTGCCTGACTCGCTCAGATTTTGTTCATTTGTTTAGCTGTTCTTGTTCTTTGTGCTTCGATCGCGATCTTTTTTTAGTTGATGTACGATCGGAAGTCTGCACAGGGTGTTTTATTTTGAAAATCAACCAGGTTCTCTTCAGTGTCTGACTTCCTGCCTGGTTCTTCTGCTCTGTGCTGCTTGATATGGCTTCTGTTAAAAATAGACTGGCAGTGAATATTGAACTTTAGCAAAACTTCAATAAAAAAAAATTTTAAAAATCACAAATTGAATCATAATCACAGTATCTGGCAGAAAAATGGCAATTCGATTTTTCCGCCCCAAATCGTTCAGCCCTACTACCGTACATGTCTTTTCAAAATAAAGTCCCATGGGAGCGACTCAGGCTCTCTGTAACTTGTAAAAGTATTTTCTTTCCTCGGACTGCATTTTTAGTCCACCAATTAAAAACACACTTACATGAATGCTGAGCTTCCTGCTGTTGTTTCTGTGCTCCAGGAACCAGGAGACCAGCTCCGCCTGAGTGAAGAGCTTCAGAGCCTCGATCTGCAACAGAGACCACAATGGGTGAAAACCACGAACCACAACCAGAGACCTGAAATTTTAATCCAGCTTGTTGCTTCTTCCAAAGTTCAGAAAACGTTTTACCAAACTCTGGCCTGGCCCACCCAACGGGGTCCAGCAGGGACACGAACTGGGTTTTCTCTGATTCTCCAGTTCAGAGAAAAAGATGACATCATTAATTCAATGAGTCGTGATAAAAGGAAATCTTCAGCATTTTTAGATGCTTCAGGCTGAAACGGTGTGAACGCATTTCTAAAATGGCGTCCTCAAAAGGTAATTCTCTTTGTCACTGATGTCTCGCCTAATGCCTACTCTCGCTCTGAGTTGTTGCAGGAAGACGCCGCTGGAAACGTGAGTCAGAGTTGGAGAGAGGAGTTTGCTGTGTAGCGTTAGGAAATAGCTAGCAGCTCCTCTCCCTCGTTTCCTCAACAACTCAAGATTTCAGAGCGAGAACGATACGAGTCTTCAGTTCAGTTTTTTCAGGGGGGCTTTAAGAGGTTTTATACGTGCAGAGAACTTCTATAAAAACCAGACTCTGCTTTCAGCTCTACAGTATTAGTCATCACATGCGTCCACAAGACCTCTGGGTTCCAAACCAGGAACAAAACCAGTCGCATGTAACGCAGAGTTTTGCGTGCACCTACAGATAATAACTCTTTTTTTCAGCACAAATGAGCGTTACTGGCCGCGAGGTGCAGGAAATTCTGGGAAGGCGCGCAGAACTCTGCACGCCCGGGCAAGACGCCGACAGCAGAAACAGCTGATCAGTCGTGAGTTACTTTTTCCATCCCCCGTTTAGCACATTTACTCTTTTTCCACAAAAACCACCTCAAGCAAACAGAAAAACCTTTTTGCTAAATGAACAATTTTTTAAATTTTGCCGTTTCCTTCAACCTTTTCTAAAGCGTTGTTGGAAACACGGCTTGTGATGCAACGGTAAATATTTTACTATCAAATTAGATTAGAAAATGTAAATCAATTATTTTGTTTATGAAATGCTAGAAAACCTAAATATATTCTATTGACTTATATAAAACAGCAAAACCATTAAAAATACTTTTTTTCTTGACTGAATGATTAATTACTGGTTTCAGCTCTAAACAGATGCGACTGAGCTTCTACACCTGACGAGACAGGAAGACATCAACAGGTGCGTCTCACCTCCTTGTCGAGCCTCTTGAAGACGTACTGCTGTGTGACGACCTCGAACCAGTTGCGGTCCACCTCCTCTCCCAGGTGGGCGTCCTCGCACTCCTTCAGCTTGATGAGCGCCGTCACCTGGGTCTTAAAGGCCTCCGCGCTCAGGCCCGACAAACGCTCGCCGAAGCTGACCAGGAACTCCTCGATCTTCGCCTCAACGAACTCTGTGCTGAGAGCGCAAACGGAAGGGGGGGGGGCGTTAAAGGAGGGAAACTAAATCCAGGCTGAAACAAACAACGGGGGGGGGGGGGGTGAAAGGCTCACCTGAACTTGGTGGCCTGTGTTTCCACGGTGACGGAGAATCCCAGCACCCCCGAGGTGTTCCTGCAGGTCGGGTACACCTGGTACCTGGATGAAATGAGATGATGCAACAGTGTTTCCTGTGGCTATGAAGAACTTTGTGCTTTTGTAAACTAATGTAAAGCTATAAATGCTGATGAAACAAAAAGTCAACACATTTATTAAATGTTTTTCCAGCAACCCTGAATTAAAGAATAGAAAATAAATGTTGTTTATTTCCTGTACAGACGCCTTATTTTGAAAACCGGACGTTGTCACATGTGTTTCCTCCTCGCGCTAAATTCATCCAGTCCGACCCGGTTTGATAAATAATGTTGTAACATGAAGACTTCACAGCTTCTCTTCAGGCAGGACTCTTACGCCTAAAGTCCACTGACTCCGGCTTTCATTCTAGTCCATGTTTGAGAGTCCACCAGACCAAATCAACAAAATCTGAACGAGTCAGCAAACTCAGGCAGGCAAAACGCTGCGAGTCTGAAATGCTCCTTGTGGGATACGCAGTCTGAAACGGGGTCACCGAGGCGTGAAACCGTCGTCGTTTTAAGCTTTATACTGCAACAAAGAGAAACTGGCAGGATAAAGTCTCTAACCTGCCCGTCAGCTCGCACTGGGCCAGTGGATTTACCATAAAGGCTTGAATACGTGTGCACTTCAAATTTAGGCGCAGCTTGCTTAAACGCCTTCTCACAAACGAGTGACAGAAGCGGACCGTTAACGTTACCGTAGTTACCTCAAAAGAAAAGTGATTGTCTCGAGTCGGATGCCAAAGCGTGCGAGCTCACAACATTAGAAGTCTGAAATGTTGTTATGAGATATTTTCGGTTCATTTTGAAACTATGGCGGCACAAATTAGACTGGCGGGCCGCCATGGTCTCGTTATTAATGGGAAACACTGATGCAATAAGCAACACGGCGACCAGTTTCCACCGACTGCACAGATTAACGTCCGACACTGACCCGAGCGTCTCCTTCGTCCTGAGGAAGTCGAAGCAGGGCTCCTCCATGTGCATCTGTGGAGACGGGACAGGAGTCAGATTATTAACGCTCGCCGGACTCGCTCAGAGTTTCATGTGTTTCAGTGTTCGACACTCACCACCATCAGCTCCATCAGCGCGTGCTCTCTCAGGTTCTTCAGCCCCGACTGCAACAAGAAGTCACACAACAAGACAAACGTGACTAGAGGACGACACGAGTGAAGAACAAATACCGCACTTAAACTAATTATTTTCATCATCTTCACGTGCGGGAAGCTGCAACCATCCAATGTCTTAAAATGACCGATTAATTTTCTGTCAAGCGACTAATTGATTAATGGACTTATTGTTTCAGCTGTACTTGTAAAAATATTTTAGAGAAAAGCGTAAATTACAGTACTTTCCACTACAGTCAGTCAAAGTGCAGAAACAATCTACTTCTGGTCAGTCTTGAACTATTTAAAGGTCACTTCGCCTAAATAAAAAAGATTTTTCTACTTTGTTCTGTGCTGCTGTGCATCGTTATGATTTTATGTACTGAAAAAAAAAATTTCATCCAACCTGACACAATAAAACAGTGAATGGAGCTGTGATTTTTGCTCAGAAAAATTAAACTTCCAGAAACGTCTCAGCTAATCAAAAAAAAATATCTTTCAAAACTACACTTCACAGTGACTTCTAAGCCCCTCCCCCACCCGAAGACCACCGTGGGCGTGACGGTCGTCCTACCTGGTAGTACACGGTGACCTCGGAGTTGGCGTCTCCCTTGTTGAGAGATTTAACTTTGCAGAGATGCTGTTTCTGAGGCAGCTCCACCACCCGGAACAACACGGGGACCTCTGCTGACAGAGGCCGGAACTGCAGCGTGCTGCGGACAGACGGAGGAGACGTGTTCACATCACATTAAAGCCCTTTTTCCTCGGCACGGTACCAGATCGACTCGCCTTAGTTTGGTTTTTTCGTATCACCTCCGTCGAGGTTGCAAGCGAGCTGAGAGATACTAAAATGTGACGTGAAAACACAGCAGGCTACTGATTGGTCAGAGAGAATATTCACTATTCGCTGCATCATCATTGCTGCACCAGACAGAGGCAGCAGCAGGAAGTTTTATATTTTACTTTATATTTGTTTTCGTATGGAATTTCATCACTAAATCCTCTTCTGAGAAGTTTTGAGGTGAGAAATAAACTGTAGATTTCAAATATTGACAGTTTTACGAGAAGTGATGGAAGAACAAAAATGTGCTTGAAAGTTTTCGGAGCTCCGCAAGTGGCGAGGCCGGCCAGCCGCCGGCTCACAGACCGCTGCAGCAACAACGGCAGAGAACACAGCGGGAAGGTTTTCATATCTGTCTTTACATTCTGAGGAAGGTTGAAATGTTTTAATTTAAAAAAGAGAAAGTTGTGTGGATCGCAGCTACATTGATGGGTGCTATCTGCAATGGAAAACGGAGCACAGCCGTGCCGTGGCGAGGCGAGCTGGTACTAGTGATGGAAAAACAACATTTACACATCAGTGTGAGCTGGAGGACGAGTCGAAACTCAGCGATTCCTCTGGCGCTCCGTCAAAAGCTCAGCTAATTTCAAATATACAGAAAAACTGGACTGGCTCTTTAATTTTGATGTATTTTGAAGTTTTCTAGCTGAGATCATTTATTTATTCAGATTTTTTCCAGTCCTACATCGTGAGCGATTTATGAATTCTGTTGAGGGTCTGAACATTTGATTGTGAAAGATGCGTTTAGTTGTTTGTTTCTCTGCTGGTTGAGAATGTTTGCTGCCCATTTAAACTTATGAGTCTTGAGATCGTTTCTGACGGTGTGCTTCGATTCATTAAAAGACACTGACGCAGGTTCTAAGAAGCACATTTGTAACTTTGCACAGCTGTGATCTAGAAAGTTGACAGACGGCGCCTTACAATCAGCAACTTCCTTTTATATAATGCACACATGAGGTTTAGTCGGGATCAGCCACGGACCAAAGAACAGAAAAGCGAACATTAGTTATTCATTACACATTTCAAAATCACAGTTCAACATTCGGACACACGCTTGTGTGAAAGGGTTTACAAAGTTTCAGTCACTTAAGAGTGTTTTTTTTTTTAAATCAGATGATGTGAAATGTCACATTTGAATATAAACATGAAAGTGCGGTAAAGAAATGAAAGATACTCACTCGATGAAGTACTGCAGAAACTCTTTGGACTCCTGTTGGTGGAAAGCAGAGTGTGTGTAAGAGAGGTCTGAAGTAAAAGATGTAATAAAGCAGGAGGAACCACAGACGTCACAGAGAACAGTCTCCTACCAAACACGTAATCCACCCTGAAACTGTTGCCTGTGTGTTTCTGTAGATTTATCCAAAGTGAAATACATTTTTAAAAGAGTAACTTCACACTCGATTCTGAAATGAAGATGAGCATAAATGGGCTCAAAGGTATGTTGGACCTACGATGCATCACTGCTGTCCCGCGGGGGAAATAAGGGTTTTGTCTCCAGAGCTGCAACAAGTAAACGATAAAGAACAGGCCTGACATGATCATTACATTATCGAACGACGGTGGCGTTTTTCCCTGAAGACTGTATAACTCCAGCCAGAAGATTTGTAAGATTAGAGAACATCTTGGCTTCAAGCAGACCAAGAGAGGAGAGCCACCATTTATTGTTTTGGTTGTTCATATTTTATATTATTTAGGATATTTCAAATGTATGTAAGTCTGAATATTCTTAAGATTAAAAAATTCAGTTGCCCTTTGAAAGGATGAACTTTCAAATTATTATGCTGTTATATTATTATTATTATTATCTCAGTGGCATAAAAATGGTCTTAAAATAATATTGTTTACTGCGAGTATTTGTGGGACAATATATCGTCTGACCAAGTTAGTCATCGCCACTGGCCAAATCCAGAAATAATAGTTTACTGCTTTGTGTGTCTCATACTGCAGTGAAGAGAACATCTGCGTTTTGGACTGTTGGTCGGACAGAACGAGACGTCTGCTGACCCTCACGTGCTCTAGGAATTATTTACACACTAAACAATTAATCAATAATAAAAATAACCACTAGCAGGCGGGACAGACGCCAGAGAGACGAAACGTTTCCTGACTGGTCAAACTATTCTGCTGTGTTTGGTTTCGCCGGTGCGTCTCACCGTGCTGGTGAAGTTCCCCTGCACCAGCCCCTCGGCGTACAGCTCCGCCTTCAGCCCAGCGACGAAGGTCATGAGGTCGTCGACGGTCAGACCCTTGGTGACGGCCTGATACTTCTGAATGACCGACCAGCGACAGTGCTCCAGGATCCGCAGGCGGACGTCCCTGCAGAGACAGGAAGGACACGCCGACACTGAAACTCAGAAGCAGCCGCTGCTCGGGAAGCCGCCGCAGGTCGTTTTGTTAAAGTTTTAAACTGCAAACTTCACCGCCGTATAATGAAAAATATGTAGGAATTTCCTGCATTCTGGAGACATTTTCTGCACCAGTTTATGGTAGAACTGTCTTCACATAAAGTGATTCAGATGACAATTCAAACAGAATATAATGCAGCACTCAGCAGCTTGTTTTTAAGCTTAAGACGACATTTGTTTCTTCTATATTTACATTGCATCTTATTGTGCAAATAAACCTTTCAAAAGGCATTTTCATTTGTTGTTTTTTTTCTTGTTGCAAGCCATTTTTCAGAACATATTTAACAAATGCTTTAAACAACGTGATGCACAGTGTCAAGCGACCAGCTAGCGTTAGCTTGTCAGTAGTTTTGTTGTCTTTCCTAACTGACTGATTCAGACCAGAGTTTGGATACCAGAGCTCTTGCAGCGCCAACTCTTCACAGAGCTTAAAGCTGAACACTGACGTCACCAGTGACGCTACCTGTACTGCTGGATAACATCAGTCACACCAAACGGAGTGAATTAGAAAGTCACACACATAAAAAGTGTTTATTTATGACGTTACGGCATTAATTTAATCCTGCGAAAGGACAAGAACAAATTTAATACTTTGGTAATGAAATGTAAGACTTTTTAAATACGTACCCTGGTACACAGCTTACTGCATGTTACTGTCCTAAGGGAAGTATCTGCATCGAGACACAGCTCAGGTGTGAAACGAGGCTGTAACCTCTGCCAAAAGTGTTCTACTGAGGTCAATGTGATATTTCAGTTTGTAAATCATGCAGAAATCCTGTTTTCGCGTTGTCACCTCAGGGTGATGAGTGCAGATCCATTATTGAGGGGAAAAATAAATTTAAAATGATTTTAAGAAAGAGTGAATTAATTTAGTTCTGCTGGTGCAGCAGAAGAAATTTAAGAAAATATAAAATCCTAACCAAGGCGTCTCATAACAAATGGATCTGTATGGGTTTTGTATCAGATCATCGACATCTTGTGACTCCTAATATGTTAGTTATATAAAATACCTCATGACGACGAGTGTGCGTGTTTGTGTGTGTGAGACGTACTTGCCGAGTCTCTCTGGTTTGATAAGGATGTTGAAGTAGCTCTTCTTCAGCTGCTCAGAGAACATGGTGAAGACGCCCGGCTCGGCGCTGAACTCTGCCAGATGATCCACGATCAGCTTCAACAGCAGCTGAAACAGCAGCGAGCAGAGAGGTCATTTACTCGGGTACTGTACTTAACCCCGCAACGCCAAGAGTATCATATGTGAGACCTCTACATCATCAGTGTGATCATCCCCCCGCCCCCCAAACACCTGATGGATACAATCATATACATGCAACGCACGGATAATCCAGCAGAGGGCCGAAATTTAGACAAACAAGATGGAGGTTGTCAATCGGTGGGTGACCTACAGGTCAAGTTTAGCTAAGAAAAGAAAAACATTGTTTCGGATTTACTGGACTGAAGCAATGTACAGTTATTTAATATTTCATAACTTATTTTATGGTGAAATCTTGTTTGTGCATCAAATTAGATACAGCACATATACAAGGTCATTTTTCATTCCATTAAGCTACATACACTCTTTTCATTATTTAAGTAAACTAATTAAAGGTTTAAAATAGACATATTTAGGTAGATTTAACGCAGAAATAGAGATATTTTTAGCCTATATTGTATTTTCCTGCTGTGTCGAGATGCTAAATGTCTAATTGGATGTTTCCAAGACTCACTTCATAATAATTGTCTTTTGGTCATTGATTTTAAGTAAAAACTGACCAACTCAGAGGAGAAATACACGTAATTTGTGTTTGGTGTGTATTTTTTAAATGCCAAAAAAGTACTGCATTGAAGATATCCTGATTATGGATGTCAAGTCAAGTGACACGGAGCAGTTAGGGGAAGATGCTGCTGCTGCTGATGATGATGATGATAAAAGGCCTAAAACATGTTGTGTTCTGCATGTTTTTGATGATGTGGGCAAAACATTGCAATAAATTTGGAATGTATCAAAACAAAAGTCATACATGCAAAGAGATTTTCTTTTTTTCTTTTTTTTTTTAATATTTGGCTTTAGGTATAATAACCAGCCCATTTAAAAAAATTAAAATAAAATCTTCTGGCTGGTTCAGGCTTTACAGGGTTTTAAGTACCATTTTGATGTTCTTTTACTTTAGTATTTCCATTTTAAGCTACTCCACTACCTTTATCTGACAGAAGTTTACATTTTTCTGATTAATACAAAATAGAAATCAAATAATAAGTGATGATTAAACTTAGGGCTGGGCAATAAAGCAATAATGATAATTATCACAGTATAATTTTCCTCAACAACAAAATAATAAATGTTCAATACATCGTCAGTAAATATTTGGTTTATTTCATTTGAGTCAAGAACAAAGTAACACTTAAAATATTTATTTTGTTGAGAAGAAGAGGCCTAAAGAAAGATTTACTAATGATATTGGTTGAAAACAGATGAATGTTCTACCTCAGATGTGTGAAGTGATCCTGTGTTTGGTGTTTGTCACATTCTGACCATAAAGAAAAGTTTCACCACATAATTCTTCAACTTTCACTCAGGAGCAAAAATCAGCCTTTAAACTTGAAAGAAAGAAATGATTTGACGTATATATCGTGATAATTGTCGATCTTTTTGGCCGTGTCACCCAGCCGTCTGTATACAAAAAAGTGCTCGACTGAAACCTGAATCTAAAACCACCATGTTCTCTCAGCTGTGACGTGTTGTTTCAGCGTTACTAATGAATGAAACAGAAACACACTTTGGGTTCTGCTGTAGATTTCAGAACGCGGCTGGTGTTTAAGGGAGAGCGGGTCGAGTTTGTCAGACGTCATTTAACTGCATTTTTCTCTATAGTGTAACTAAATGTGTGTCCTCACCGGCAGTTTGTGGTTGAAGCCTTTCAGCCGGACCACCAGGCCGTGCTCTCCGGCCACCAGCTTGTACTCCAGCTGAGCCACGTCGGCCTCGTAGGCCGGCTCTGCCAGGTTGTGAGCCAAGATGTTCACGAAGAGGTCGAACAGGACCAGACTGAAAGAGGAACAACACGGGTTAAAAACGCGATACGAAGGAAGTGATGTTTGTGTTCACGTGTGTCGACGGTCTCTTACTTCTCGGGACTCTTCTGAATCATCGGGGAGATCAGGTTGAAACGGATATAAGCTGAAAGACAGAAAGAACAAAATATTAATTCCACAGACTCATTTTCGCCCAAAGTTCACCCAACTTTATGATCTCCGCTGACATTTAAGAGAATGTTTGTGGGTCTGAACAGACAGACGTCACGGACTCTTTGTCTAATCGCAGCTTTGGCAGTTCACATCACAGGAGATCTTTTTATAAAGCAGCAGTGGTTTGAACTGTCCACCAGGTGGAGCTGTTTAACAGGACCAGGCAGCAGAGAGGCGCCGCGTCCCCGCCAAAGACGAGGATACTGTTAGAAATCAAGATGTGCCCGACATGTTTTTTTTAAATTCAATGACCTCATTAAAAAGCCACCTCCTCCTTCTCCCTCACTGAAAAATCCCCATTCTCTGAAAATGATTTGTTTCAAAAGACAAAACGTGTCCGACTTCACTGAGAAGTTCATTCTCAGTGTTTGTGACCTGGTTTCCACATGACACCGCGTTTCACACTGGCACCTGATTGTTCGGATGGTCATGAAAAAAAAAAGTTATGGAATTTGAAATAGTTTTTTCGGGAAAAAATTAAATCCCAAAAGTTTTGGAGAAGTCACGGAAAGTAGTTTCCACGACACTAATCAGGAATGTGATTATTCTAGGTTTTCTAGCTTCACGGTTTGGGGCTGCTTCGCTGCCTGAAAGGGAAAAATGAAGTTATCACGAGATTCTGCAGGAGATGGGTGATGCAACAGGCCAACGATCAAGTAAATCAACACCAGAACGGCTTCAGCAGAAGAAAACACGGCTTCTGGAGGGGCCCTACAGAGTCCTGACCCCAACCCGACTGAGCTGCTGTGGCACGACCAGAGCTGCCAACTCTCACGCACTGAGCGTGACTCTCACACGACTGACACTTTTCCCACGCCCTCACGCCATGCATCAATTTTTTTCACGCATTGGAAAAATTAACGTCTCCTATAAGTGATAGCATCGACTCGGCGCGATTACACTCCACCCAGCTGGTGCGGACGCTGTGACAAGAATCAAGCGAACCCGCTCTCGCGCAGAGAATGGCAGACAGTTTGCGATCGGGTAACGTAGCAGGTCGAGTTTTGTAATATAAAACTGTATAATCTGAAGCACAGCTCTGCTCTGCTGGGAATCAGAGCTGCACAGAGCTGCTGAAGTTAACGTGAGGATTTGCGGTGAAGTGTTTTCAGTTAGTTTCGTTTAGGACAGGTTTCATCTATACAGTCCCAAACGGGTTCTGTGTCGTCTGTCTGTCTGGGATTCTATCGTATCAGCAGAGCAAGTAATGCAGATTATACAGCAGATTACAGGGCGGGGAGGTTTTAAAAAACATTGTGATTAAATGATGACGTTATTGAGATGTCAGATTACACAGATATGTGGGGTAGATGCAAAACGTTTTGAACATTCAGTGCAGGAGTTTCTAACTGAAGTAAAATTAATTAATTTATCCTTGAGGTGAAAAGGTGCCGCGTTTAAAGAGGAACTTCCCCAAAGACACAACGAAGAGGGAGGAATAAAAAATCGTGAAAGAAAAAGGAACACAGCATGCTTGAAAGCCGCACACCTACTGGATTATATTCTGGTATATTTTAGATTTTAAATTGTCACCTGCTGTCTTGAGGTTTGTTTCTGTTGACCGAGCTTAGATAAAAACATTTCCACCATAAATAGGTGAAGAAAAATTCACCAGAATGAAGGAAATTAACTGTTTGATGCTCAAAATGTATCATATAATTCAGCTTGAAGATTGTTGTATTCTCGTCTCGTGAGCCTCGTCACGCCCCTGCTATTTAATCTTGACAATATTGTACAGGGTCTTTACAGGAATCCTGAAGGAAAATTCAATACCTTTTAAGACTTCTTTCAAGACCTTCCCAACATGTTTTAAGACTGCAGCACCACTTTGAGCTGTAACCGGATAAGTCAGCAACAATGCTTTAAATGGTGAATTGTGGAGTTTTTAAAAGGAATTTCAATATATTTATAACATTTTTATTGCCTATATGTAATCAGGTTGCAACCTCACCTAACAATTCAGTTCACCAACTATATATCTGGTGGCAGATTACTTTTGTCTGTAACGCGTTGCTGTTGATAACTTCAGTAATCAAATTACAGTTACTAATAACAAAATCGTCGCGTTACTTGCGTACTGGTTCTTGAGAGAAAAATAAATCAAACGTCCCTTTTCGTGCGTGTTTGCGTGACACTTTTCCGCCCCGCTCACTCTCTCCGGTGAGCGTTGTGTCGCCAAGCGCTGTGAACGGTTCGTGATCGTTCCCCTCTCTGGCTGGACGAATAGTACGCGTGGTCCCGTGCACTTCCTGCAGCTGGGGGCTCCCCGCAGCGGCACGCAACTTTCTAAATTCTTGCATCTCACAGAGAGAAGAAAGGTCAAGGTCGCAAACAGCCGCAGCTGCTGTGTGAAGCGTCATTGGAGCAAAACGGCCATAATTATTATTATTATAATAAGACGTAGATGCCTGATTATTTCACTGTCAGCCCCAGACCTACATGCTGGCAGCTATTAATGATTCAGCAGTCTGCTGTACTCTGCCTTGTTCTTCACTTTACAAATGTTGGGCTGATGTTCACTTTGTAGTATTAAAGAGCATAAAAGAGAAAGACCCTGTGTATGATTTGTGTTGATCTGAGCATATATATCGTTATTGTGCATCACAGGTGATGTTACGCAGTAATCCAAAAAGTAATGGTATTAGTAGTGTGACTAGTTACTTTCAGCAGTGAGTAATCTAGTACAGTAAGGCATTACTTTAAAAAAAAGTAACTAGTAATGTGTAATCCATTACCTTAAAAATTTTGAGACTGTAAAACTTCACGCTCTTTTTTTGTCGACCACTGTATAAATAAAACATAATAAAAATAGGCCAGAAGGGGACAAATCTGAAGAGAATAAATCAGTAGTGTAGGCGGTGTAGCACAGACACATGTGATCAACAGCTGTTGTCTGCATCCTAAAGCTGATCTGTGTACATTTTTCTAACAATAACTTTAGTAAAACAGATGTTAAAACAGAACAAGGGGAACATGTTGCCCTCAGGAGCTCGCACGGATATCTTTTTAGGGGCATATGAGAGAGAGATACTTGCGCGGCGCCCAACGTTACAACAGCAGAATTGCACAGTCGCCATGCCCTGCCTGTCTAGTAATTTTGGCTATGCAAAATAAAGCTCACCTTTCGGGATCTTGAACTTGTTGTCCTTCTTGTACCACAGACAGCCGCGCTCGCTGTTGACTATCCTGACAGGAAACTCTGAGTCCGGACGGTCGCAGGTCTTCAGGGTGAAATCACTCGCTGCAGCACGATGAAGAAGAAACACAAGATCATGAATCTGATGCACTGTTGTTTTTAGTTACTTCATTTTAGCGTTAATAAAATAAAAATGTAATTCGACGCCTGCTTCAGTGAACTGTCGTGTTTACTGACCGATGTATTTGTTCTCAGCAGGAAGATGCAGCTCAGGGTTGAGTTCGAAGTCTCCTGCCCAGCGCTGACCCCACTCCTCTGAGATGTCTGATGAGACAAAGCAAACACACCCAAGTTTAATAGAATTGCAATTTTCTTTTACTGACATTCTGCAGGGTAAAAAACCCACACGAGGAGTTTCAAGCAGAAAGGAAGCTGTAGCTTTAACGGGGACTACGTTCCCTCCCTGAACAGGTCGTCAGTTATTGTGATAAATGAAAAGCATCATTAAATGTTTGAGTTCAACTGACAAAAAACAGCAACATTTATTTATACTCGAGTGAATTTCACGCTTAATAAATGGAAGCTGCTCCGGGAGGAATAAACAGAATACAGACCGACAGCAGAGGAAAAATAAAACTGTAAGCGAGACGCTCTGGTATCTGGTGAAAGTCGGCACCCAGGATCATCTCAGGCAGAATCTCTTTACTGTACAATAAATAATTCAGACCCTGGTCCCTCCGGTTCCTCCAAAGGTTCCTAATTCCAGGGAAAAGTTCCTGCGATGGTTCCTTGCTCTGGTTGGGTGGGTTCCCTTTCTGACACTTTTGAAACTTACTGGCTCCAAGACAATTTTTACTGTCAGTGTTACAACAAATCTAAAGAGTTATAAGTTATAAGTTATGTTATTCTGTTAACATGTTTAAATCAGTTATTAAATGCATCCTGGATGTAAAAAAACTAAAATGTGAACACAGTTAAAAAATTAAAAAGGTTAACAAAACAATTTACTTTTAAAACAAAACATACTAACAGACTCAAACATGACGTGCTCTCTCTCCTGCAGACCGCCACTGAACAAAGAGCAGCGAACAGGTCGCCATGGTAGCGGCCTGTGAATCAGCTTGTAGCCCCGCCCTGACGCCTCCCCTGCTTCCTGGTCTCTGTTCCTCTAAATGGGACCATAATTTACTAAATGAACATCATGCTGTGTTGAAGAAGACTTGAAACTAGCGACTGAGACCAGAAACTCATCAGGAAAGTGTTTACTGAGGGAATAAATCAGCTGACAAGTAGAAACATTTTCTTTCTGCAGCCGCTGGAGTCGCCCCCTGCTGGCTGATAGAGAGGACGCAGGTTTAAGTCGCCCCCTGCTGGCTGCTGGAGAGGACGCAGGTTTAAGTCGCCCCCTGCTGGCTGCTGGAGAGGACGCAGGTTTAAGTCGCCCCCTGCTGGCTGGCAGCTAGAGAGGACGCAGGTTTAAGGCGCCCCCTGCTGGCTGGCAGAGAGGACGCAGGTTTAAGGCGCCCCCTGCTGGCTGCTGGAGAGGACGCAGGTTTAAGTCGCCCCCTGCTGGCTGCTGGAGAGGACGCAGGTTTAAGTCGCCCCCTGCTGGCTGCTGGAGAGGACGCAGGTTTAAGTCGCCCCCTGCTGGCTGCTAGAGAGGACGCAGGTTTAAGTCGCCCCCTGCTGGCTGCTGGAGAGGACGCAGGTTTAAGTCGCCCCCTGCTGGCTGCTGGAGAGGACGCAGGTTTAAGTCGCCCCCTGCTGGCTGCTGGAGAGGACACAGGTTTAAGTCGCCCCCTGCTGGCTGCTGGAGAGGACGCAGGTTTAAGTCGCCCCCTGCTGGCTGCTGGAGAGGTCGCAGGTTTAAGTCGCCCCCTGCTGGCTGCTAGAGAGGACGCAGGTTTAAGTCGCCCCCTGCTGGCTGTTAGAGAGGACGCAGGTTTAAGTCGCCCCCTGCTGGCTGCTGGAGAGGACGCAGGTTTAAGTCGCCCCCTGCTGGCTGCTGGAGAGGACGCAGGTTTAAGTCGCCCCCTGCTGGCTGCTAGAGAGGACGCAGGTTTAAGTCGCCCCCTGCTGGCTGTTAGAGAGGACGCAGGTTTAAGTCGCCCCCTGCTGGCTGCTGGAGAGGACGCAGGTTTAAGGCGCCCCCTGCTGGCTGCTAGAGAGGACGCAGGTTTAAGGCGCCCCCTGCTGGCTGCTGGAGAGGACGCAGGTTTAAGTCGCCCCCTGCTGGCTGCTGGAGAGGACGCAGGTTTAAGGCGCCCCCTGCTGGCTGCTAGAGAGGACGCAGGTTTAAGTCGCCCCCTGCTGGCTGCTGGAGAGGACGCAGGTTTAAGTCGCCCCCTGCTGGCTGCTAGAGAGGACGCAGGTTTAAGTCGCCCCCTGCTGGCTGCTAGAGAGGACGCAGGTTTAAGTCGCCCCCTGCTGGCTGCTGGAGAGGACGCAGGTTTAAGTCGCCCCCTGCTGGCTGCTGGAGAGGACGCAGGTTTAAGTCGCCCCCTGCTGGCTGCTGGAGAGGACGCAGGTTTAAGTCGCCCCCTGCTGGCTGATAGAGAGGACGCAGGTTTAAGTCGCCCCTGCTGGCCGCTGGAGAGGACGCAGGTTTAAGTCGCCCCCTGCTGGCCGCTGGAGAGGACGCAGGTTTAAGTCGCCCCCTGCTGGCCGCTAGAGAGGACGCAGGTTTAAGTCGCCCCCTGCTGGCTGCTGGAGAGGACGCAGGTTTAAGTCGCCCCCTGCTGGCTGCTGGAGAGGACGCAGGTTTAAGTCGCCCCCTGCTGGCTGCTGGAGAGGACGCAGGTTTAAGTCGCCCCCTGCTGGCTGCTGGAGAGGACGCAGGTTTAAGTTCCGTCTGCATGGTTTCACTTTCAGACCCAGAGGTTTCCACTTGATTGAAATCAGAGAAATAACATTTGACAACCGCTCGTCACGTCACTACAACTCCAGATTGGACAACTGTGCGTCGATAAATGTTAAATGATTATTTCTATCAAGTTAAAAGGCAGATTTTTGCTTTTTGAAGAAATCAGATGGTTAGTTCTAAAATCTGAGGAAGGACATTCAAAACAATTAAGATAAAATCTTTTTTTTAATTATATGCTTGAGTAAAATTAAGTAAAATCTTTTCAGTCCCTTTTTCTCAACAAAATAAATATCTTAATAGAAAAAAAAAGTGCTAATTTGTTCGTGATTCACATGAATTAAATCAAACATTTATTGATGATATATTGAACCTTTGTTATTGATGAAAATTATATTGCGATAATTATCATTATTGATTTATTGCCCAGCCCTAACGGTGCGCGCCAAGAGCTGCAAAACAACTGCAGGATGTTGAGTTTCTAATTGATTGAGTTTTATTAATACTGATGTTTTTGCACTAGTCTGATCGGGCCAGAGAGTTGCTAGTTCAATATTCGGGTTCAGGTTAGAATTAGGTTAAGGCTGTTGTTAGGGGCTAAGGAATGCATTATGTCAGTGTGCGAGTGCGTCCTACCCTCCATGTTGTAGCAGGTACCGAACCATTTCTCTCTGAGCGGACAGCGACCTTCGTTCTCCGGTGACAGCAGCAGCAGGTTCGCTCTGTCGGGAGTCAGCAGGGACAGAGCAGCACTGATCACCTGAAAACACACACACATTTTAACAATTTATTTAAGGCCGCTTAAAAGAAATCATCACAGGTATGCAGGCTGATTCTGGATCAGATCTGGGTCTTGCGGTCCCGGTTACCTGCGGGTCGTACTCAAACATGAGCTGGTCTCCGGTCAGGAAGTCCTCTTTGGGAAACAGCTGCATGTTCTCACAGATGTTCTCCACAAACTCGATGGGATCCGTCTGTCAGACCAGACGAGACACGTTTAATTAATCAGGTTATTAATCTCATCTTTACGTGTGAATTAAAACACATGAATGTTATTATGGAGAATAAAAGTTTTCAAGTCTTTGCTATCTTTATAAAAACGCTTCAACGAGAGTCAGTTACTCTACATTTCACCCACTTTGAGTCAAATTAATTATTATAAGGAATAAATTTACATTTTAATACAATTTCTAACTTAAAAAATATCCAGCAGGGACAAAGCAGCCATGCTACACATCTGATTATTAGGGATGACTGACAGAGTAGAACCTGTTTTGTGTTTGTATGCCTATTTATCATCATTACAGTTTTAACGATCAAAACTAATTGCATCATCACAGAGCAGAAGCCCGTGAATCTGCACGCAGCGACATCTGATTGTTAATCACCTGCTGACAGAACAGTGCGTGTTGTTACTTTGCTGTAAACACAAACACATTTAGAGGTTTTCACAGTGTGAGCTGCAGTACCTGCTCCTGATAGTGGAACTCGTTGGCTTCGATCTTCTGAATTTCCTCATAGATCCTGAAAAAGAAGGAAGTTTGCTGAAATTTAAATCTGTATAGAACAAATATCTACGTGTTTACTTAACACGTAATGTGGTTACCGTTGGCTTTCTGGAGTCACCAGATCTGAAAGATTAGAAACTTTAGTTCTAAAATAACTTTATGTTCACTGCAGCTTTGACTTTACCAGAGTGACTTTACACGAGCGACCGAGACGAAGCTACGTAAAGTTTATCAGGATCATTTCTGTATTTTTACTTATTAAACAAGGGAGAAAGGTTTGTTGTGTACGTAGAGGAGCTGCTAGCAAGACTTTAACATTACTCCAACGCAACAAACTCCTCTCTCCAACTCTGACTCTTGTTTTCACCGGCGTCTCAACAACTCTCACGAGATTTCAGAGCGAGAACCTCATTTTCTCACGTTTGCTTGTAACCCTTTTTTTGATCCAAGCAACATTTGAGCATCACTTTCTCCTTGTTGGGAAGCGAGTTCACTGACGATGCCTGTTATTTAGTGGTTACGGTGCTTTAGTGAACTACCCACGTTCCAAGAGTTTTGACCTTTGACAGCTGCGAGCTGGGGCTGGACGATACGGCCAAAAATTTTATCACGATAAAAAGCTTCATATCTTTCGATGTCGATAATTATCACGATAAGTATCAAATTGTTTTTTGTTTCAAGTTTAAAAGCGGAGGATTTTTGCTCCTGAGTGAAAGTTGATGGTTAATTGTGGTTTAAACTTTTCTTTATGGTCAGAACACTTGACGCCAAACTGTGAATCACTTCACATATCTGAGACAAAACATTTAAAATATTTGATAAAATCTTTGTCAACAAATATCTTTAAGTAAAATTATGTAAAACCTTTTTCAGTCCTTTTTCCTCAACAGAATAAACATCTTAATAAGAATGAAAGTATGATTCACTTGAACACTTGTTATAGAAAAAAATTATATTGCGATAATTATTGTTATTGTTTTATTGTCCAGCCCTAGTTTCAAACAGCCGAGTGCTGAATGTAGCTCGTCAATGTCTCTTGTTGTGAACCGACCAATCACAGCCTGTATGGGGGCGGGACATTTAAAAGTACTGAAAGATAGGCGTCATTTACACTGTGGACGCAGGGGACAAGTCAGAATCAGACCGTCTCCAACACTTTTTGAAAGCTTTTGTTAAACAACAAATGTTGAATAACAAATGAATCAATGCACAATAAGGAAACAAGCAACTGAAATATAGACAAAACAAATGTGCATTTCCCAAAAGCGGATTACTGAATTATATTCCATTATATTTTTATATTTTGAATTGTCACCTGTCACCTTAATTTTGTTTTCCCTTCATATAAATAAAACATTTTATCATAAATTGGTGCAGAAAATGTGTCCAGAATGCAGGAAAGTAAGTATTCAATGCTTAAAGTCGTTATAATATTTACCAGTTGAGGATAGTGTGTCTGTTTTTTTAAGTCCTTTTCGCACAACAAAATAAACATAAAACATTAAGTCCTAATTCGTGTATAACATTTGTTATAGAAAAAAATCATATTGGGATAATTATTGTTAATGTTTTGTTGTCCAGCCCCACCGTGAGCTCCTAGTCCCCGTCAGTTTCACCACAAACCTCACCAAAGTCACTGATTAGTTGCATTACTGTTCTGTAATGTGTTTAACAACTCAGCTATTCACAACAAATAAATCTTCATCTAATCCAATCCATCTTTATTTATCCAGCTAATGAGACTTTGGGAGGCTGACAGCAGGAAGTATGTGTTGGGTTAAAGTGTGAGTTTCATCAAAACACTGCAGTGCAGCAGGGGCAGAGGGAAGATTGTTTCTGAACCAGAACATGTGCGTTTACCTCTGCTGGGGACCCAGAGTCTGGAGCATCTTCAGGTACTGGAACACAATATGGACCACCTGCACAGAGAAAGACAATGCTGCATTATGGGACACTGAAGAGTTAAGAAATAAAAAAACAACTTTCTTTCTTCTTTTAAACATTAATTCTGTCGTCGTTTCTGCGTCATCCCACGTTTTTAAAGTCAATTAAGATTTGAAAATCCTCTAGTGTGCACCAGGCAGTAAAAAAGTCTTCAATAATTCTTTTCCTACAAGAAGTTCAAATCTCAATCTCAGTCAAACTGTGATCAGTAAATGCCCTGCCGAGTTTTTAAAGTAGACATGTTAGTTAGTTTTGTACCATTTCTATATATATTTTTCAAGAGGCCCCCAAAAATATATATTTTTTAAAAGTCCCATTGAAGACTTTTGGGAAATCTCCTCCCTTTTGTGTGCGTGGGCGAATTAATATCAGATTTTAACCATCGTAGTGAGGACATCACTAGTTCAAAGGACTGTTTATTAGTTAGGACTTGGTTTTAAGGGACTCGTGTGACAGTGGGGGAGCCCGAGAGTTACGACCAAGGTTATTATAGTTTAGGATTTTTCATCAGTTTTTATATTTAATTCATTTTGACTTTATTTTAAATTTCAGTTTTGTTTTAATTAGTTTTTTATGTGGGTTTGCTAGTTTAGTTTGGCTTTTGTTAGTTTTAGTGTTAGTTTTAGTCTTTGTCGCTGCAGGATGCCAAGCTCAGCTCATTCACCAAACATTAAAACACAAGTAAAATCATTAGAAATAATGCAGATTTGTGAAAAGCGACAACTTTTTGAAGCTATCTGAATCTTGTACATAGGGGCCCAAACACTAAGCATGCATATATGCATATATATATCTCATCAACACTGACAAAGAAACAACTTCTAGCTCAGTGTGCACAAACGGCAGCTCCTATCACAACAGATTGATGAGGTACAACAAATATGCTACGGCAAGGGGGAGTCAGGACGACAGGTCAGCGGGGAGATGTCATCACCATCCCCAAGCCCCAACAACAACAACAAGCCCTTACGGCACAGAATCACTCAACATAAGGGCGACTGACCTACGATTGAAGATCATAACCAAGCTGGACCCCCAAGCACTACGACCAAGATTGCCAAGGCTAAGTGAAAAGTACCCTCTGAAAGTCTGCTAGAAGACGTGAATGCAGCACTACATACTATCCCTACTAAAGCCATAACCGAGACCAATGAGCTGATGTACGCCACAGCAACAGTGATCCTAGAGATGCTTGGCTATAAGATGAACACCACAAGCCACAAAGAGCATTACCCCCCCATGGAGGAGAAGGATAGAGGCCAAGATCAAGGCAACACGAAGAAAGGTTAGTCAGCTCTCAGAGCTACAGAAAGGTGCAAGGAAGGGGCTACCTAAGAAATACAACAAGCTGTCGATACCTGAGGCTCTGGAGACTGACAAACAAAGACTCACCGCTCTGGCTACCCGCCTAAAGAGATACAAGGGAGAAGCAGGAGCCAGGAGAATAAACCAGATGTTCTCCACCGAACCATCCAAAGTGTACTCTTAGTGGCAGGGTAATAACACAAGATCAGATCCACCCAGGGCTGAGACTGAACAGTACTGGAAGAACATATGGGAGAAAGAGGCATCCCACAACACCAATGCTCAGTGGCTAGTGGATCTAAGAACACATCACAGCAATCTCCCAGAACAAGATCCAGTAACCATTACAACAGCAGACATCCAAGAAAGAGTGGCAGGTATGAAGAGCTGGACAGCACCAGGCCCTGACATGATCCAAGAAACTAACTGCACTCCATGAACGCACTCCTGATGATGGATGGGACCCACCCAGAATGGTTAACCCAAGGACGGACAGTCCTGATCCCAGAAGGGAACAATCCCATCCAACTACCGGCCAATAACCTGCCTCTGCACAACAGGGAAGCTCCTGTCAGGCATCATAGCGGCTAAGATGAGTAGGCACATGACTCAATACATGGACAGAGAAGGGAATGGGTAGTAATACCAGGGGAGCCAAGCACCAGCTACTGGTTGATAGAGCAGTCACTCGAGACTGCAAGACCAGGCAGACCAATCTGTGCACCGCCTGGATTGACTACAAGAAAGCTTACGACTCAGTGCCACATACTGGAATACTGGATACTGGAATGCTTGGAAATGTACAAGATCAACAGGACACTAATAGCCTTCATCAAGAACTCAATGGGGTTGTGGAAAACACTATCACCGCTGCTGTTCTGCATAGGCCTGAACCCCCTCAGCCAGATCATCACAAAGACTGGCTACGGATACCTGTTCTGAAGTGGAACAACCATCAGTCACCTCCTCTACATGGATGACATCAAGCTGGATGCCAGAAATGAGCGAGACATCGACTCACTGATCCACACGACCAGGATCTACAGCAACGACATTGGAATGTCGTTCGGACTGGACAAGTGTGGTCGCATGGTATCAAAAAGAGCGAAGATGATCAGAACCGAGGGGACTGAACTACCAGAAGGCCACATTGCAGATGTTCGGGACAGCTACAAATACCTTGGGGTGCCGCAGGCTAACGGAAACCATGAGGAGGCAGCAAGGAAGTCCACCACGGCCAAATACCTACAGAGAGTGAGGCAGGTCCTGAAAAGTCTGCTGAATGGGAAAAACAGGATCCGAGCCATCAACACATACGCCCTGCCAGTCATCAGATACCCCGCTGGTATAATAAACTGGCCAAAGGAGGAGATAGAAGCTACTGACATCAAGACGAGAAAGCTCCTCACAATGCACGGAGGGTTTCATCCCAAATCCAGCACCCTGAGACTGTACACCAAGCATAGCGAGGGAGGCCGAGGGCTAGTGAGTGTCAAGACCACTGTCCAGGATGAAACGACGAAGATCCAGGAGTACATCAGGAAGATGGCCCCCAAGGATGAAGGGCTTAGTGAATACCTCAGGCCGCAGAAACCCGAGGGTGAGAGCAGGGAAGATGACGAACCTTCATGGAGGGACAAGCCGCTGCACAGCATCACATACCACAGACAAATAGAAGAAGTGGCTGATATCAAGAAATCCTACCAGTGGCTGGAAAATGCTGGACTTGAAGGACAGCACAGAAGCACTAATCATGGCAGCACAAGAACAGGCACTCAGTACAAGATCAATAGAGGCTGGGGTCTACCACACCGGGCAGGACCCCAGGTGCAGACTGTGCAAAGGAGAAGTGCTCACTAACACAGATTTTGACCGATTTGTGAACAATATTTGAGAGAAATAGGCCTTTGAGCCTTAGATCTTTGAGTTCAGCTCATGATGAATGGGGGCAAAAACAAAAGTGTTCATAATTTGTTCAGTGTAGATAGATCGATCTACATATTGGAGGTACAAGAACAGGCACTCAGTACAAGATCAATAGAGGCTGGGGTCTACCACACCAGGCAGGACCCCTGGTGCAGACTGTGCAAGGAGGCCCCTGAGACAGTACAGCACATAACAGCAGGGTGTAAGATGCAGGCAGGAAGTGCGTACATGGAACGCCATAACCAGGTAGCTGGCATAGTGTACAGGAACATCTGCCATGAGTATGGGCTGGAAGTCCCAAGGTCAAAATGGAAGACACCTCCTAAGTTAGTTGAGAATGACCTGTGGGACTTCAAGGTCCTGACTGACAAACTGGTGATGGCTAACAAACCAGACATCGTGTTGATCGACAAACAGCAGAAGAAGGCTGCAGTGATAGATGTGGCGATACCAAGAGACAGCAACATCAAGAAGGAGGAACACGAGAAGCTTGAGAAACACCAAGGGCTGAAAGAGGAGCTAGAAAAGATGTGGAGAGTAAGAGCAACAGTGGTGCCAGTGGTGATCAGAGCACTGGAGACTACAGCAGATTCCAGGTAAACATCAGGGGTCTCTGTCCAGAAGAGTGCAGTCCTAGCAGTTAAGATACTGCGCAGAACCCTCAAACTCCCAGGCCTCTGGTCGAGGACCTGAGCTTAAGGATGACACCACCCTGCAAGAGAGGGGGTATTTTCTATATATTTGAAGTAGTAACACATTGTACATACAGAAAACCTTAAGAGCTAAACTACCCCAATCCTAATCCTACTACCCAGTGGTCCCAAGAAATTCAAACATCAGCCTCTAGCTCCATCATTGGAAAGCGGTTATATTAAAATCTAAACCTTTATTAATCAAAAAATCGATATTAAAACAACGTGAAGCACAAAGAGACAGGCTGGCTGAGATATCAGTGAGTCCATGAAACACACACTATCTGACATGCAGTAAATATAATGACGAGCAGACACGTTAACCCAGCGCAGTGGGCAAGTTTATCCCACACTCAAGGTGAGCTCTAAGTCAGACCATCAGAACGGAACAAGGAAAAGAAAACCACCAAGACAGCGACTCTCTACCTGCAACTCAAACTAAACCAAACACAACTCTGTACAGTTGTTGCATTCATGTTATTTTGTACACGTGTATGCATAAAAGATGATAGAAAATATGTTCAAATCCCACCAACTACGCAGCTGATCCCTACCTGGGTCTAAGTTAGCCCTAACTTTACATGGGGCTCTCCCCGTTACAGCGGTCAGTCCGGACAGACCAGCTGCCCCTCTACGTCAGTTCCCCCGGCTTCATATCCACTCGAAATGTAGGCTTATTACGTCCTATGAAATAAATAAATAAACAAACAAAAACTAAGGACTTTTACTCTTTCATTTTAGTTCGTTTTAATTAGTTCTACAAACCTACAACACAGTTTGTTATCGTTTTTTTGTAAAGCCTCGTTTTTATTTTTATTTCAGTTAACGACAATATTTTTTCACATCTAGTTCTCGTTATTTCGTTCGTCTTCGTTAACGATAATAACGGTGGTTACGACTTGGTTTTGGGGTTCAGGTTACATTTAAAGTAAGGCTTAAGATTAGCCATGTAGCTGTGATGGTTAAGGAAACGTCTTCGAGTATCTTCAACAGAGTTCAGTTGCCCTTGATTTTAACCCACCTTGGATAACCTGGTTTTAATGTTTAGGTTATAATTAGTCTTCACATGTAAATAAAAGAAAAACATGTGTGTGTGTGTGTTTTGACCTGGTAGAAGTTCTGGTAGCCCTGGTCGGTGAGGGTGATGGAGATGGAGAAGATGGAGTAGGTGGTGTTCTGGTCGAAACCCGTCTCACTGTTTCCTCCAAACAGAGCCAGAGCCCAGCACCTGGGGGCGAGCACACACACGGAGTGTATACCATGAGAACCTGCTTATTTAATATTTAAATATAACAGTTTATTATATTTTATTTTAACATTTACTCACTTCTTCCTGAGCTGAGACAGGATGCTGCCGGTTCCTTCGTGTCCGATCAGCCAGGAGATGTAATGAAGAGGCTTCACTCTGACAGAATTAAAGATTATTTTTAACATTTTCAAAGCTGCACCTGTACCTTTTAATACCTTTTCATTGTTGGTGGGTTTTAAAGTTGTACTGGACTCACCTGTAGTGTTTCCCCTGCGGCGGTACGGCCCAGCTGATGGTCAGAGCGTGAACCTTCCTCACAGGAACCACTGAAACACATGTTTATATATTAGTACGTGTGCAGCGATCATAAATCAGTACTGCAAAATGATTCATATGAAAATTATAAGATTATATCTCTCAAATGAATTAAACAATTTTCATGTGATATAGAAAATCAAGTTAACTTAGGAAAACACTTTATTGATCATGCAGCATCGAACGGATCAGACCAGATGAAGTATTTACAAAAAATACTAAGTAAAATTACACCATTAAACAATATGAGGAACAAATACAGTAAGAATAATACTAATACTACTGAATAATAATATATCTGACCTCTGTAGAGTTTGTTGAAGGCTGGCGTGTCAAACGGCTGCTGGAGGTGAGAGAAGTCGACTCGGGGTTCATGGCTGGAAACAAACACACACAAAAAAGGTTTTATTCTATTTCAACTTTTATTTAGAGTAACACTGCAAACTAGATCCTGATCGATAAACCAGCATGCAGATATTATCGGCCAATAAGACATGACTGCAGATAAATCGGAGCGCTCACAGGGCTGAATCCGACCCAGTGTCCTCACATTAAAAGCAGGATAGTGGCTGACGCAAGCAACGGAGAAAACAGGCGTGTGCTTCATTTCTAACTGAGTTTTGACACTGACAGTAAGGCAATGAAAATTTGATTTATTAGCAATTAATTTAATCGAAAAACTTACATATAGCCCCCTTTAAGAAAGAAACTGAGAGACAAAAGACAGATCCTTCAATAATGTTATGAATGTTGTTGCATATTTTGTCCACCAGAGGGCGCCCTGCAACTTCCCTGCTGCAAATCCAACACAAAACACAGCAGCTGTACTTTTGTTCAAAGTACTGTTCATGACAATAAAAAATAAAATTTTAGGAACCACATTATGTCATGTTATCTTTATTAACTTTTGTGACTACACATAACAAATTAGGAAAGATCTTTGTTCATGTCACGTGTTTCGGATTTTAAAATCCTCTCGGTGTTTCCTATTTCTAGTAGCTAATTTCTTATTTCACCATTTTAGTTTAACTTCATTCTCAACTTTAGTGAGCGCTCACTAATTGAATCCGCTCCCTTTCCCTTCAGTTCTGTTTTCCCCAACACTCGCACACACCTCAAACACACCTGCTGGCCCCGCCCCTCCCCATCTGCTCTGTTGAGTCAGTGAAAACAGGGTACTCCCAGGATCCTCAATGTAAGACCTTTTTAAGACCTTTTTAATACCACCTAGGATGAAATTTAAGGCCAACTTCAATGTGTTAATGGAAAATCTGTATACATTTTAAGAAAGTTACTATTTACGAAGTTACCTTTATTTAATAAAACATACATTCACCTAAAGGATTATTAGGACACCATACTAATACTGTGTTTGACCCCCTTTCGCCTTCAGAACTGCCTTAATTCTACGTGGCTTTGATTCAACAAGGTGCTGAAAGCATTCTTTAGAAATGTTGGCCCATATTGATGGATAGCATCTTGCAGTTGATGGAGATTTGTGGGATGCACATCCAGGGCACGAAGCTCCCGTTCCACCACCTCCCAAAGATGCTCTATTGGGTTGAGATCTGGTGACTGTGGGGGCCATTTTAGTACAGTGAACTCATTGTCATGTTCAAGAAACCAATTTGAAATGATTGGAGCTTTGTGACATGGTGCATTATCCTGCTGGAAGTAGCCATCAGAGGATGGGTACATGGTGGCCATAAAGGGATGGACATGGTCAGAAACAATGCTCAGGTAGGCCGTGGCATTTAAACATCCCCCACACCATTACACCACCACCACCAGCCTGCACAGTGGTAACAAGGCATGATGGATCCATGTTCTCATTCTGTTTATGCCAAATTCTGACTCTACCATCTGAATGTCTCAACAGAAATCGAGACTCATCAGACCAGGCGACATTTTTCCAGTCTTCAACTGTCCAATTTTGGTGAGCTCTTGCAAATTGTAGCCTCTTTTTCCTGCTTGTAGTGGAGATGAGTGGTACCCGGTGGGGTCTTCTGCTGTTGTAGCCCATCCGCCTCAAGGTTGTGCGTGTTGTGGCTTCACAAATGCTTTGCTGCATACCTCGGTTGTAACGAGTGGTTATTTCAGTCAAAGCTGCTCTTCTATCAGCTTGAATCGGTCGGCCCATTCTCCTCTGACCTCTAGCATCAACGAGGCATTTTCGCCCACAGGACTGCCGCATACTGGATGTTTTTCCCTTTTCACACCGTTCTTTGTAAACCCTAGAAATGGTTGTGCGTGAAAATCCCAGTAACTGAGCAGATTGTGAAATACTCAGACCGGCCCGTCTGGCACCAACAACCATGCCACGCTCAAAATTGCTTAAATCACCTTTCTTTCCCATTCTGACATTCAGTTTGGAGTTCAGGAGATTGTCGACCAGGACCACACCCCTAAATGCATTGAAGCAACTGCCATGTGATTGGTTGATTAGATAATTGCATTAATGAGAAACTGAACAGGTGTTCCTAATAATCCTTTAGGTGAGTGTATATTATAACACTCACATTCATATTTCATACACTAAAGCTTTTTGTGGTGTATTTGTACTCTGATAACAATGAATCAAATTGAATCAAGGGCGTCACTGTGTTGTGACGATACACTTAGCTCACATGCATGATTCCCAATTTTGGGTTCATGAGAACAAGGCAAGAATTTTTGACAATATTTTAACACTATTTTGATTAAATATTCAATGCTTATATAAATGGAAGGTCTGGGGGTCCTCCCCTACAAATTTTGAGCATTAAACACTTAATTTCCTGCATTCTGGAGACATTTTCAGTAAATTCAGGTGACAATTCAAACAGAATATAATGCAGCTTGTTTTTTAGCTTTTTTTGGAAAATGCACATTTGTTTCTTCTATATTTATATTGCATGTTTTCTTATTGTGCAAATAAACCTTTCTCAAAGAATTTATTTGTTTTTTAATATTTCTTGTTGCAAGCTATTTTTCAGAACATATTTAACAAATGATTTTTTTTTTTTTTAAGTGATGAAAACATGTCCCCAGCGTCCCCAGTGTAAACGATACCTATGAAATGAATACAAGAACTCTTATGGTGTGAAACCAAAAATACAAAACTGTGCAGTTTGAGTTGTTATAATTAGCTACACCTTTGCTAGATAAGGTAATTTATTATTATATAATCAGAGATTATTCGTCCTGTTCTGTCTTTGCATCTAAAGGCTGCTTGAAATACAGTAGGCTTTTCCTCGTCCCGGTGATCGGCCCATCTGGGTGATGTAAAGTTTAATGTGCGTTAGCATGTTGGCTGTTTCCATTCATTCTGCAGCAGGTCTTCCATTAGCGCTCGCCACAGTGTGACTGACTCGCATGCCGATCCGCTTGTTGTGCTAACCTCACCGCCCTCAGCCTCGACCCCCAACTTGTCCGTATCTCTGGCCTTCTGAACTTCAGACACTTGCCCATTCTGAGTCGACGAGCTTGTTGGCACGACAGAGACGTTTGTTTTATTTCCAAACAACTGACTGACTCGCGCCAGAGCTTGGATGCCAGAGCTCGTGCAGCGAGAACACTCCACAGTCCAGAGCGTAAAGCTAAACCCTGACGTAAAAACAGTAACGTTACCTGCGCCGCAGTTTAACATCAGAGTCACATCAAAGAGAGTAAATTGTAAAGACACACAAAAAGTATTTATTTATGACGTTACGGCATTTATTTAATCATAAGAAAAGACCTTTATAAATGAAATGTAATACTTTTAAGGCCTTATTTTTAGAGTATTAAATTTAAGACTTTTTCAATACCCTGGAAAAGATACAGAACCCGTCATCTGGATTTTTTTCACCCACCATTTTGTCAATCGAAATCACCGAGACCAACGTGGCAGCAGGTCAATTCTATGTGTGGGAAACACTGTAAATTACATTTCTGCACGACCATTTCTTGTTGTTCATCGTCCAACATGCTGTGCGCACCAACATCAGTCTTGCTGTAGTTTGAAGACGAGAAACTCATTCAGAAATGGAGTGAGCTTGCAGATTTGTGTTTGTTTCGGTTTGTGTTCTTACTTGTTGGGAACGTTGATGAAGATCTCTCTCACCCACTGCTCCAGAGTGTCCAGAGTCTCTAAACAACATAAAAACACTGTCAACACGTCTCTTTACAGCTTTACATCAGCTGCCTCCTGCTCATAGGCAGCAAAGGATGCTAAAGTTAGCATTGATGTAAAAGTGTCCAACAGAGTGTGTCACTGTGACATCACTGTTGGTTGTGGTTACCCAGGGTTTTATTAGGGCTGAACAATTAATCAAAATCTTATTGAAATATGGCTTACTGCAGTTTTCAAATTGCAAGAGATGCAATATTTGTTAAAGGTTCAGTGTGTGAGTTTTAGTGGCATCTAGTGGCGAGGGTTGTGTATTGCAACCATCCGTCCAGTCTACCACTGCCCCCCTAACCTTTCAAAGAGCGACAGCTACGGTGGCTGACAACAGCACAAAAGGTGTCTCTTCTGAGACAGCAGAGAGTGGCCAGTCAAGAAATGAGGTTACTTTGGGTAGATTTATTAAGAAATTATATTTACTGAATTATTCAGTAAAACCATATGTTATTGTGACTTGGCCACTGAGAGATAACGTGGAAAATGTGAGCCAAACACTGTCACGGTTTCTGCACCACAGTCCATTATAAACCACACATTAGATAAAGTTTATACAAACACTGACAAGGGAAATACGTTTGTTCTCTCTGTGATGATGGACCCTCGCCAAAACTGCCCGCCAACAATAATATCTGGCCCGCTGCCAGATTATGGTGCTTTGATAGTGGCAAAAAACATAAATAAATAAATACAGATCTCAGTCAAGGCAGCAACAGTTACTCAAATAATCAGTTCCAGTGTAGTGGTTTTGCCTACAAAATAGAAAAGTGTGAGAAGCTTGTTTACTGTAATGTTGTATTTGGATTTAAACTTTGAAAAATTCTGACATTAAAAGAGCTGTTGCCTGCTTGACACACCTCTGAAAGAGCCGTCAGAAGACGTGATTCCCCTAAATGTGCTCTGCCTGGAGATACTGGGGGAAAAAAAGCGTCCGTAGGTTGATGGACGAGGATCAAACACCGAAACAAAAAGAGTCCAGCAGTGACCTGAGAAACATTCACTGCAGAATTCATTTGTGGAAGAGAGAGAAAATAATCCTGTGGTGGGATCGAACCCTCAGCTCTTGGGTTGCAAGTCCTGCACCTCACCGACTGAGCTAACTGAACAAAATATTGGTATAAGTCAATAATGTCTCATATTCTCATCGACCATCTAATGGTCTTATTTGCCGACCCCTGCAGTATATTATTACTATTACTTCTTCTTCTTCTAAGGTTTATTATGTAAGGTCTTTACACACCACTGAAAACATAGTTATGGATCTTATATATTGCATTTCTCTCGATAGACCCTAAGAAATATTACACACTGAACCTTTAAAAGGCAAAATGTGCGTCAAAATACCATTTTAAATTACATATTGTTGTGCTGCAGAGGCGTCCTGGCCCCTTCATTTTCTACAGACTTAAGAAAACATCTTTGTTTGGTACAGATCCTGGCAGAATTCACACCATAATTCATTTTAATATGTTTGTCAATAAAAATTATTATACCCTCCAATATTGTAAATCATATCTCTCAAAATTATCGCAATTAGATATTTTTTCAAAATTGTTCAGCCCTACTTTTTACCCAACCACAACCCGACGTACTCCTATGGGGAGGCGATTGTGCCCATCAAAATGGCGTCCACATAAAGTGCGTCTTTTGCAAGAGACAGGCTCAAAGTGTTACACCAGGTGTCTGACGCCGGTGAAAGCGAAGGGAGAGGAGTTTGTTGTGCGTGTAGAGGAGCTGCTAGCAAGACTTTATTTCCTAATCCAACACAACAAACTCCTCTCTCTAACTCTGACTCACGTACCTACAACTCATTTTGACCCCAAAATACAGGAAAATGAAATTAAAATGTCTTAGATGTACTAACTTGGCCACCGTGCAGAGGATGGACACTTCTGATGTGGCTAACAATATGACCTTTCCTCCTCAGGGCAAACTTTACATGTTTCACCCTCTGTAGCAGTAAGGATTTAATTGTTTTCATGCATCCAACACGTTAACTTTCTTAATTAGCAGACCCGCTGTGAGTTTCACATCTTCGAACCTTCAAAACAAGCTGCAGTAGAAGAAAAAGCAGACATCTTCAAAGACCCCCTGAGGGAGTGATTATCTCCGGTGAGTTTGTACCTCTGGACTGAACGGCGAGCGTCATGTAATGAGCGGAGTAATATCTCCTCCAGAAGTCTCTGAGCCGCTGGTAGGTGTTGATCTGTTTCTCTCTGGGCTCGTGCTTTAATGTCTGAGCGTTACCTGAACAGGAACAGATGATCAATATAATGAGATGTGACATCAAACCACAAAGACATCCCTCCTTTTCAGGTCCATTCACTTGGAAATAGGAAATTTATGCCTATTTCATTACTGGAAAAGTAGAAGATAATAACATTTATGCGTCACAAAAGCTTTTTTTGTTCTTCTTCTTTATTGAAACAACAGATAAAGTCTCAGGGGTTTAGTGCAGAAGGCCCAGTGGGGAGGACTGTATGTGTGTTGTTCTTACCCCAGCAGAATTTGCTCATAGGGTGTCCTGGTTTAGCCAGACTCCCAAACAGCATCTCCTTTCGATGCGAGTCGGACGGCCTCGCTAACTGGTACTCTGAACAGGAAATGATAAAGAAAGAGCCGTGCAGGAAGGCAGAAAGAGAGAAAACACATTAAAATAAAGCGTGACTCTAGATGAGAAGTCTGGTAGTAGTATTTAGTCTTAGTCCTGTGTCAAATGTCCTGGTTAGTTTCTTTCATGTTTAGTCCACTGTTTACAATTTTTTAGTCTAGTTTTAGTTGACTAAAAGTTTTTTAGTCTAGTTTTAGTCATTAACCATCATTTTATTCTTTTAAAAGTGATGCGAACAGCAAATAAAAATGTAGAGAGAAGAGTTAAATGATGCCAGGAGATGAAACCAACGGAAAGCAGAGCTTGTGGTGAGAAACTGCAACAGTGACGAACTGAGACGCAGCCGAAGGTGAGCGGCTGTTAACATCAGCATGGACTGAGCGCGTGCAGCCTTTATTATACAGGAAGGCACATCAGGAAAAAAAGGCGTAAGCTTCTCTTTCTTTCACTTTGTTGTTGGCTTGTTTGGCTGCAAGCAAAACCATACAAATAGTAATTTTTTGCCGCGATCTGGTTACCAAGAGTATCGATTGAGGTATGGGTTTGACTGGAGACGTTTTGATTCTACTCGATAGTGTTGTAGTCAAGACCAAGACCGAGGGAGGGCGAGACCGAGTCAAGACCAAGACTTTTAGGGGCTGAGAGCAGTCAAGACCAAGACCGAGGGAGGGCGAGACCGAGTCAAGACCAAGACCGAGGGAGGGCGAGACCGAGTCAAGACCAAGACCAAGACCAAGACCGAGGGAGGGCGAGACCGAGTCAAGACCAAGACCAAGACCGAGTCAAGACCAAGACCAAGACCGAGGGAGGGCGAGACCGAGTCAAGACAAAGACCAAGACCGAGGGAGGGCGAGACCGAGTCAAGACCAAGACCAAGACCGAGGGAGGGCGAGACCGAGTCAAGACCAAGACCAAGACCGAGGGAGGGCGAGACCGAGTCAAGACCAAGACCGAGGGAGGGCGAGACCGAGTCAAGACCAAGACCAAGACCGAGGGAGGGCGAGACCGAGTCAAGACCAAGACCAGTTCCCTGCATTGCATGGCACGCAATAGAAAGATCCACTTTCCCACTAAAGCACCCACATACAAACAGTAAGAGCTGAAATCAACGTAAGCATCTTTAGGGAGGGGTGACTGCCGTTAATTAGGGTTACTGGTTGCATTTGAAGCAATATGTTTTACTTCCAATCAAAGTTAGGATGTTAACAAATCAGACAATGCATAAGCAATTTATTGATATTCCCAAAGTTACTTGGGATTAATTTACTTGAAATGTTGAGTTGTCAATGTCCGAGACCGAGAGCAAATGCGGTCGAGACCAAGACCATCAAAAAGTGGTCTTAAGACCAAGACCGGTCTCGACTACTACAACACTACTACTCGATACCATAAAGTTATAGAGTAGCGATACCCAATCCTACTGTTTTGAAGCCTCGTATTTGGCTTTTAGGCCGCCGCAAAAACAAATGAACAGCCGACTCCTCTAAATGGGACCATAATTTACTAAATGAACATCATGCTGTGTTGAAGAAGACTTGAAACTAGCGACTGAGACCATAAACTCATCAGGAAAGTGTTTACTGAGGGAATAAATCAGCTGAGAAGTAGAAACATTTTCTCAGACTTCTATACAATCACACTTCTTTGTGCAGCCGCTGGAGTCGCCCCCTGCTGGCTGCTGGAGAGGACGCAGGTTTAAGGTTTCACTTTCCTGCTTGATCTCAACTCACCGCTGTCGACAGCCTCCACCTCTCTGTCGATGGCATCTTCGATCATCAGAGGACAGATGAAGAACTGAGCCCACCTGCAACACAAACACACACAGTTTCAATGGTGTGTGAGCTCTTTCTTATTTTTATCTTCAAAGATCGTGTGAAAATGGAGACCTAGAAAGAACTGAAAACGGGAAATTTTACGAACTAGTGCTGAGATTACCAGTCGAATAACCAGTCAATTTGTTTATGTCATGTAACACACAGATCGTTCTCTGCTCCCAGCTTCTCAAATGTGATGTTTTGCTCTCTTTCTCTCTTCTCTTCTGTCAACTGAATATCTTTGTGTTGAATTGACTTACGAACACGTCACCTTGAACATGTGATGGGTATTTTTCGCTGACGTTTTATCGACCAAACAACAAACTAAAATGATTGAGTGATGAGTAAAATAAAAATTTGTTGCAACCCTACAGTAAAAATAATTCCACTCTGTGCTGGTGCAAAGAAACAATCACATTAGCTTCAAATGTTCTTCTGCAGACGGAACATTTGACTCTATAAACAACAACGTGGCTGCAGAGACTACATCAGCTGGCCTGTTGGAGAGCGGCTCAGTGCTCGTGGGGATCGTTAATGAACCAGTTGACCTCCCAACAGAGAGCCATATGGCCCACAAAGAGCTGCCATCAACAGAAACACAGGACACTGGCCTTCATGATGCGGGGGCGCCCAAAAACTCATGTTCTGACAGGAAACCTTGCGCACCAGCCTGTGGTTTACTGTCAATCAGTCTAAGGACCTATTTTGTTTTTTGTCTTTGTACTGTAAACATCTGAAAATTTAATTTAACCTGCACAAAAACGAGATAATTATGGTTCAGTTTCCCAGTAGGGCTGAACGATATTCAAAAAAATATGTAATTGCAATAATTTTCACTGAAATTGATGTTGCGATATGATTTGCAATATTCAAACAAATTATCATGTTAATAATAATTAGACAAAGATATTTTCTTAAAGAGGTCACATTATGCTCATTTTCAGGTTCATAATTTTATTTAGGGGTTGCTGATTTTCATTGTTGCGCAAAATTGAATAAGGAATTCTAAAGTAGTGTATTGCACACTTTTAATTTAAATGTACTGCTATATACACTAAAGTGTAATAACATGTGGTTTAACACTTTAAACTAATTTTACCAGCAGTATCCCCTTTACACAGCAGCAATAAAGTATTTCTTGTAAATCTCAACTTAAACATTAACGTAATCAAATCAAATATTAAACCTTAGCTATTTGCCGCTGCCAGGGCGTTACCTTTTATCTAGATTGTTAAAACAAGTCAGAGTCCAGTTTTCTTGGGGGGGGGGGGGGGGGGTTTCTGAACAGGTATAAGCAGAAACATTTAATTTGTTTTTTGATCAGGGAGATAACGATAAAACAATTAGAAGATCTTGTTTTATCACATTGCGATAATATTGCAAATGCAATTAATACTTCAGCCCTAATTCAGCGCAAGTGAGCAACAGACTTTCAAAATAATAATAATAAACTTTTTTAACGTGCTATAAAATTATTTTTCGGGGTTAATTAATTAATGCGTTATTGCGTTAACGTGCCCAGCCCTAAATAAGAAATATTAAAATCAACTGTTTACCAATCTTTTTAGTTTAGCATTTTCCTAAAATTTCTCAGCTCCTCTGGGAGGCTGTTCCACAGCGGTGGACCTTTTACATCATAAGCTGCCTCTTCATATTTCTTTACCATCAGGGTTACTAGAAGGGCAGCGGCCAAAGAATATGATTTGCAGGCCAGGACTAATTTAAAATGGTATTTTAACACACGTTTCACCTTAAAGAAATATTGCCCCAGTAACAGGGGTGGAGGAAAAAAATAAAAAATCGATACAGCATAGTATCGCAATATTTTCTGTGGCAACACTGTATCCATACGCGGACGCAAAGTATCGATCTTTTATTATATAAATTGTACATGAGAATTTTACTTTTTTGGTACTATAATAATAAAATCAATTGCTTTTTCAGTCCCCTAGAAAAACACATTGTGTTTAAAGCCGCAAAAATATTGTATCGTGATAATATTGTATCGTGATAATATCGTATCGTGGGGCCTCTAGTGATTCCCACACCTAGTCAGTAAGCCACACTGCGATTTCGATTATCTGTTCAGCCCTAGCTCCCTGCGTCTCCCCGGTGAAGGAAGTGGGAAGTTCACAGAGGTAAAGTCACCTGTCGAGCGCCTCTTTGAAAAACTTCTTCTGCACGTCGAACTGGAAGATGGTTCTCTCACAGTCGGTGGAGGCGTTGTCGCTTCCGCCGTGCTTCTTCAGGAAGGCGTCGAAGCCGTTCTCCGCTGGGTATTTCTCACTGCCCATGAACACCACTGAACATCAGGGAGGAGGAAAGCAACAAAAAAAAGTGATTAATATCCAGAAACACACACAACAGGAAAACAGACGCACCAACAGACTGGCTTTTGTTCCAAGTTCTATCCAAACCTCGCTTCTCTGCTCACTCACTTTTTATCAGCAAAGAACATTAAAGAAAACATTCAAGTAGAACTGACAAATACGCCATTTAAAATAACTGTATCAGCTAATTAACATGAATTCATTAAGGGCTAAAATAAAACTTTTTATTGTTGTTTGGTTAATGTGCAGGCCAGTTTCTGAACTGCCCAAAGATAGATTGTGAGTGGATTGTGGGTTTCTGTAATTCAACAGACAGAGTGCCGACTTTTCTGCAAGTAATATTCATACTTCTCTGTGTGTATTTTTGAGCTCCAACACACATTTTGAAAGCATTTCCTTCCTCATAAAACATCTGGAAAGCAGATCTGTCGAATGTCATGTGATGAGAAAGGAGCTTAATGAAGGTAGTCAGACAGCTGTAATTAATAAGAATCTAGTCTTTTCAGACTCGGCTCTCTTCTGTTGGACTCACTGTGTTCCAGGAAGTGGGCAAGGCCGGGCAGGTCTTCTGGGTCACTGAAGCTCCCCACACTGATGCACAGAGCAGCTGCCGCCTGGAAACACACAAAAAAAGTGTGATCAGATCCACTCATTCAGGGTTATTTTGGGGTGAATACTGAGATCAAGATTATTTACTTAGAAAACTTCATGCATTTACTGAACTTTAAAAATCGAATGCTTCATTTATAAAAATTGTTTTACACTGATCAGCCATAACATTATGACCACCTGCTGGTCTCCGTTTTTAATCACCAAAATAGCCGTGACCCATGGAGGACTAGACTGCACTGCGTCTGCTCTGTGTGTTCTGACACCTTTCTGTCAGAACCAGCATCAACTTCGTCAGCAGTTTGACCAACTGTAGCTCGTCTGTTGGATCGGACCACGCGGACCAGCCTTCGCTAACCCAACATGCATCCACGACCCTGTTGCTGTTTCACCACTTTTTCCTTCCTTTGACCGCTTCTGATAGGTACTGAGCCCTGCAGAGCGGTTTGGAGATGCGTCGTCTAGCCATCACAGTTTGGCCCCTGTCAGTTACTCAAATCCTTACACTCGCCAAATTTTTCCCGCTTCTGACACATCAACTTTCAGGAGGCAGACACCATCTCCACATTTAAGAGTAGGCTTAAGACTTTCCTCTTTGATAAAGCTTATAGTTAGGGCTGGCTCAGGTGAGTCCTGAACCATCCCTTAGTTATGCTGCTATAGGCCTAGACTGCCGGGGGATTTCCCATGATGCACTGAGCTCCTCTCTCCTCTACTTTCTCTCCCTCTGTATGCAACCTCATCCCATTATTGCATGTTACTAACACAACTTCTCCCCTTTCCGGTAGTCTTGTGCTTTCTCGTCCCTCTCCTCTCTCCTCCTATCACTTCCTGCAGGTTTTCTGGCTCTGGAGCTGTGGAGTCTGGATCTGTGGTTGCGGGTCAGCTGCTGCCCCCGTGTTCCTGCTCGACACCCTCTGCTGCAACGACTATTGTTACTAGTCTTATTGTTATTATTGTCTTCATCGCCTTCATCTCATCACGCCTGGATTATTGCAACAGCCTTTTCACCTGTTTAGCCCAAAAATCTATTGATCGACTCCAGACTGTCCAGAACTCAGCTGCCAGGCTTTTAAACAGAACAAAGAAATATGACCACATTACTCCTATTTTAGCTTCATTACACTGGCTCCCAGTATGTTTTAGAATTGATCACTTTTAAAGCTCTTCATGGCCTCTCGCCTTGTTATATTTCTGAACTTTTAGTCCCATACGCACCAGCACGTACCTTGAGATCCTCGGGCAGAGGTCTGTTGTCTGTTCCAGAGTCTCGACTGAAAACTAAAGGGGACAGAGCGTTTGCTGTCAGGGCCCTGAGGCTCCGGAACAGCCTGCCCGAGGAAATCAGGTCGGCTGAGTCAGTGAACTCTTTTAAGTCCCTTCTTAAAACATACTTTTATAGGAGAGCTTTTCCCGATCTTATATGACTTTATTTTATCCCTTTATTTTATTCTATTTTACTAATTTTATATTTATCTTAAACGTGTATTTTAGTCTTTTCAATGTTTTAATGCTTTTATCTTGTATTGTTTTTTTGTATTATTGTCTCTTGGGTATTATTGTCTTTTACACTTGTTAAAGCACTTTGTAACTTGTCTTTGAAAAGTGCTCTACAAATAAAGATTATTATTATATTCTTAATCCGCAGGGTTTAATATAGAGTTGGCCCAACCTGTGCAGCAATTACAGCTTCAACTCTTCTGGGAAGGCTGTCCTCAAGGTTTAAGAGTGTGTTCATTGGAATTGTTGAACATTCTTCTAGAAGCGGATTTGTAGGTCGGTCACAGATGTTGGCCTTCTCGGCCTGGCTCGCAGTCTCCACTCTAATTAATCCCTAAGGTGTTCTATCAGGTTGAGGTCAGGACTCCATCTCCACACTCATCCATGTCTTTATGGACTTGCTTTGTGCACAGTCATGCTGGAACAGGAAGGGCCATCCCCAAACTGTTTCCACAAAGTCGGGAGCATAACATTGTCCAAAATGTCTTTGTATCCTGAAACATCAACACTTCCTGTCACTGGAACTAAGGGGCCGTGCCCAACCCCTGAAAGACAGCCCCACACCATAATCCCCCCTCCACCAAACTTTACACTTGGCACGATGCAGTCAGGAAAATACTGTTCCCCGGGCAACCGCCAAACCCAGACTCATCCCAGAACAACACTGCTCTAGTGTCCAGTGGCGGCGGGCTTCACACCGCTGCATCAGACGCTTTGCGTTGCACTTGGTGATGTGAGGCTTGGACGCAGCCGCTCGGCCATGGAAACCCGTTCCATGCAGCTCTCTACGGACTGTTCTTCAGCTCATCAGATGGCCACACGACGTTTGAAGGTCTGTAGCTATTGGCTCTGCAGAAAGTTGGCGCCAAAAATTACCTCCGCCCACAACGGGCTCTCGCATGTGCCCCTAAAAACAGATAAGCCTACGTGCAATGAGAAAAATGTTTTATGAGCAATCTGCAAGTAACTTTTAACAACCTACCATAACCCAAGGATTAAATAAATAAAAACAACCCACAGAAATGAAACGGCTGTAACTGGATTTAATATTCAACACGTGGTAAAAAGTATACTGTTATATGAAATTGTAATGAATCTAGTATTTAATATATTATAGTAAACTATACTCTTTATCTAATACACTCGTGTACAGTTCCTCCTCCAGGTTGTGAATAGAGACAGATTAGACAGACGTCCATTGAGCCGATGCCAGTGTGCCAATATGTGCTGCTTCAAGTCGCCTCCTCTGTAGAGCAACACGCTCCCCTTGTTCTGTTTTACTAGTTATTGTTATAAATATTGCTTAACTTTGTTCAAGTTGAGAAATACACATTTTAAAATGTCAGTATTTCGCACATTCCTTCATAATCAAGCAAGTAGACTCAGAGTACCATTTGTTCATTATAATCAAATCGCAACATGACTTTTTCTCCAAATCATGCAGCCCTAGTGGCAACCTATCACGGTACCACGCTTGAATTCACTGAGCTCCTGAGAGCGACCCATTCTTTCATAAATGTTTGTAGAAGCAGGCTGCAGCCTAGGTGCTTGATTTTATACACCTGTGGCTCATGGAAGTGACTGGAACACCTGAATTCAGAGGGGGGTCCTAAAGCTTTTTGGTATAATATAGTGTATCTTATTCCAGCTGAGACACAAAGACAGGAAGTCAGAAAGTACTGAGAGATGAACGAACACGTTTTTGAGGACAAAGCCTCATCACAATCCGAGACTAAACACACCCGCTGATTTCGCTCGTCACCCACCTGCTTCTCAGAGCTCCCTCTCTTCTTCTTCCCTGCGTTGTCCTCGTCCAGCTCATCAAAGTCGCTGTCCTGCTCTTCCTCCACAGCTTCCTCCTCGTCCTCCTCAGACCCCTCACCGGAATCCCCTTCTTCCTCCACAGCTTCCTCCTCCGCCGCCGCCTCCTCCTCCTCCTCCTCCTCCTCCCCGTCCTCCTCCTCGTCCTCTCCGTTTGCGCAGCCTCGTTTCCCGTCAGCCCCGCTGAAGTCCGAGATGAGGAGCGCTCGGAGGCCGTTACTCAGCTCGATGTACCTGCGGAGAGCGGGACAGGATCAATATTCAAGCATTGTCCCGTCAGTTTATGTATAAAGCACATTTAAAAACTACCAATGTTGAACAAGGCAGGAACGAAACACAGACTCACCTAAGAATAAAATCAGTTTTAAGATGAGACTTTGGGGGATGACCTGATAATAAAATAGCGTTACTTTCGTCAGATGAAACTAAACAAAATATGTTCATCAACAACCTTTTTTTCCCCTGATTAATGACGAGACAATGTCGTTAGACGCTGACTGCGACTTTATTAACATGCAATACTGTTGACGGAAAATGACGAGACAAAAATGTAATTCATAAAATAAAAACGTTAATAAAATCACTCTCTCTTTTTGTCAGTATAATGCGGAGACAAAATATTACAGTCGATACTCTGGTGATGAACACAACATGCTCGGGCGACAGAGGCGTTCAGACATTTGGTCCCGTTTCAAATACAGTGAGGCGGAGAAAAAAAAACAGAGTGCCTAATTATATCTGACGGCAATGTAGTTATAAGATTTCTGGAAAACACTACGAACTTGAAGCGGCATATCAAGGTTAACCACCTGGGAATTGAGGTAAGTTAATGTTTCCTTTGCAATAAAAATGAAAACAAAGCAACATTCAAATCTTATAAAACATTTTATCTACATGTGAGATGAGTGAAATAAAGACTAAAACGATAAATATGGTTCGAGCAGATTGACCTAAATGCTAATCAAAATTATACTAATGGGTATGAAAAGACTAAAATGATGGTTAATGACTAAAACTACTCTACAGTTCTTTTGATTCTCTTTTGAGTAACATCTGACTAAAATATACAGACTTTTAATCAACAAAAAATAAAATAAAAATTGCGTACAGTGGACTAAATATGACAAAAACTAACTAGGACATTTGACACAGGACTAAGACTAAATTTTTAAATGGCTGACAAAATTAACACTATAATAAAAGGGAAGGTTTTGGTGACTGTGGCTCAGTTTATTTTTTCCTTGTAGCCCGTATTTGTTTTTTGGCACCATTAAAAGTAGCAGAATTATGCCGTTAGCAGCTCCTGTTAGCAGTGTAACCATGGATGTACAGAAAGCTGTCACTGGATTACTGCGATACTGAAGGAAACTTAAAAGCATTCTCAGGCAAGTTCTGCAGGTTTAACAAGCATCTTTTTTATATGATTTCCTAGCGGATTTAGAGACGTTTATTCACAATGGCCATCAGAGATAATGATGCCTCAGAAAATGCATCAGAAAGTGAAATAACTTTCAGTAACCAAATATGAATTTCATGTCTCTGTTCATGTTCAGCTTTCAAGTCTCCCACATTGGGGAAGCGCCTCACAGTTTGAAAACCTCTGACCACAGGAAATTCAAAACAAATATCAACAAAGGTAATTAACTCTACTGACCCTCTTGTGTTTAAAGATGCTCTGTATTTTTAAAGTTTTAAAGTTTCCCGAAAGCACTTTTAACCTGTGTTGTTCAGATCACAGTTCTCCACCAACTGTCCAACATCACAATGGCACAAAATCAGTTTTATTTATCTTCACTGGTGTCGCAAACAAATAAACAGGTCATGATGAGCGTTACTGGTCCAGACTGTTGTGAATAATGATGCACAGGTGACATCGGACATTTAATTCAGTTTACAATACACAGCTCTGTTTGAACTGCTGTCACGCATATGTGTTACCAAATTATCTTAAATTATTGCATGTATTGCATACGTACAAACAAATGCTGCGGAGGCCGCTTTCTTCACAGTCCATACAAAAAGCACATGGATTGAGCAAATTCAACAGCTGTTTATCTTTGAATTCACACTAAAGCTCACATCACAACACCCTGTCTGACGTTTCTGTCTTGATCTCTCCCACCTGTATTTCTTCGGGTCACTGGGTGATTTGACGATCTCTGGTTCTCCCTGGTTTTCTGCAGCGACTTCTCCACGTCCATCTCCAGCAGCCACCTGGGACCTGACATCCTGTGGCGGCGGCAGATGTGGCGGTGGCGGCTCACCCTGGTCTGGGGCAGATACCTGTCCTGGCACACTGCAGCCGCTCGCTGACTTGTTGGTCTGAGGCATTTTGACAGAATCCTCTGGGTGCAGGAGTATAAAGTGTTATAGATCATGTCACATCATATTCAGCATAAATCTTGTACATTTTCTCCCCGAGTGCGAGCCAGGCGTTATCGCTAACATCAGAGTTGGACCTCACTAATGTGCTTGTGTCTGAATGACAGCAGCAATGAAATATCTATATAACCTTGTAAAATGAATATTCGGGCAGCTGGTTGGACAAAACAAGCAACTTAAAGACTTCTACTTGGATTTTTGGAACTTGTTTTTTTCATTCCTTATTGCACCCTCACCTATTATCACCAGAATGCAGGAAATGAAGTGAGCTATTATCACCTATTATTAACCATTGTGGTGGTATTTGCCTTTTATGGGTGATCTGATGTAAAGCTCTTTGTGCATTGTTTTCACAAGTGCTTCATAAATTAAGCTTATTATATTATCGTGCAGGGCATGGCTCACTATTTTCTGTGATTTTTTATTTAAAATAATAAATACATTAATTGAAAAAGTAATGAAAAGATTAAAGGACTAGTATCTCACTGGTATCCAACCACTGCAGCTGAAAACACAAACAGGGAAATTGGTAATTAAAAGGATCAGGTGAATTACTTTATCAGATATTCACCTGATCTGACTAATGCATACTGTTGAAGTATCATATTAGCTTTGGCTGACTTTACAAAGCATTTTGGCACACAACAGTGGATTCTGTCCTGTCACTTACACTGAATTCACTTTAGTAAGGGATCTCTTCACAGCCTGTGTGGACACAAGCAATGACTACAGCATTTTACTCACATGCCCTTATGTACATTAAAGAGCTAATGTTTGAGGATAGTAATGAAAAGACCATTACTAGCCAAATCCCTGCAGCCAAGTTCCAAAACCTTGTGGAAAAGCGTTCCCAGAAAAGGAAGCTGTATCACTGCCCATTTGTTTGGCAAGAAATATTCAACAGTTAACAGATAGATGTAATGTTCAGGTAGAGTGATTTTCAAAAGATTAACCTTTACAATTGTAATTTCTGGATGAAATGTATACCGATTTATAAAATGTCGTCTACTTCCTTAAAATCTATCCAAATATTTAAATTTTATAAAGTAAGCTTTGGCCGATAACAGCCAGAATATAAATGTCTGATTTTATTGCTAGTAGTTTGGTTCGACGGTCGTCGCGCGATAGAACTGAATGGAACGTTGGTTCGGAATTTTAATACCATTCGCCAGCGAACAGAACCTGCAGTTAAAATTGAGTCAGTTTAACAGTCAGGTGCAACATAGCTCAATTGTCAGGAAATGCGGGGGACGCTAGTAGCAAGCTAACTGTTAGAGCTCACTTAAAATATTCACAAACACGTCACTACAATTACTGCAACTTCAAAGACGGGTGGTGATTAAGTTTGACCGTTTAATCGGATAGCAAGTTAGTAAGTTTAGCTACAGTTAGCGGTGAATTAGCTAGCTTCCAGTAATCCTGACTGTTCAACAGCTAGTTTAGCCACACTGACTAAAATACCAGTCGTTCAGTTTTTTCGTTAGCTTGTCAGCGGCAACTGAACTCTGAAATAATGACACGGCTGTTTGGTTTGTTGTAGTTTTATCGTAAGGAAACGCTCACCTTTGTTTCCGTTAGCTTAATGTTGGTGGAAGTTCGGAGTTTCAGTACAGCCGCCTAGCTTGGGTCAGATAGCGGTTAGCAAAAACAAAGCATGTGATTCGCTGAGAGCACGTCAATCACAGGCAAACGGGCCGTCCGATTGGTCGAATTTGTGACGTAAGAGGTCAAGTTTGATTGAACGACAGTGCAACAGAGGTGTAAAGTATTAACACATAGTGATTTTATGATGTAATTACAGGTGAAACTCAGTTCATTTATTTCAGTAATTCAACTTAAAAGGTGAAACTAATATATTATATAGACTTATTACATGCAAAGTGAGATATTTAAAGCCTTTATTTGATATAATTTCGATGATTATTGCATACAGCTTATGAAAACCCCAAATTCAAAATCTCAGAAAATCAGAAATTTAATAGAAAGTTAAGTGGAAGGGAAAAGTGTGGAAGAAAAAAGGTGCACAAGCAGCAGGGATGACTGTAGCCTGGAGAGGATTGTCAGGTAAAGGCAATTCAAATGTGTGGGGGAGCTTCACAAGGAGTGGACTGAGGCTGGAGTTTCTGCATCAAGAGCCACCACACACAGACGGTCCTGGACATGGGCTTCAAATGTTGTATTCCTCTTGTCAAGCCGCTCCTGAACAACAAACAAGCGTCTTACCTGGGCTAAAGGAAGGAAGCAAATTTTGTATCTCATTTGGAAACCAAGGTCCCAGAGTCTGGAGGAAGAACGGAGAGGCAAACAATCCAAGATGCTTGAAGTCCAGTGTGAAGTTTCCACAGTCTGTGTTGGTTTGGGGAGCCATGTCATCTGCTGGTGTTGGTCCACTGTGCTTTATTAAGTCCAGAGTTAGCGCAGCCGTCTACCATGACATTTTACATTTACAATTAGCTGACGCTTTTATCCAAAGCGACTTACAATTCCTATATATGTCAGAGGTCGCACGCCTCTGGAGCAACTAGGGGTTAAGTGTCTTGCTCACCTGGGTCTCTCACACCAAAGGCATAGTCTTATCCATTGCACCATCGCCATTTAGAGCACTAAATGCTTCCTTCAGCAGACGAGCTTTATGGAGATGCTGACTTCATTTTCCAGCAGGACTTGGCACCTGCCCACACTGCCAAAAGTACCAGAACCTGGTTCAATGACCATGGGATTACTGTGCTTGAATGGCCAGCAAACTGGCCTGACCTGAACCATTGCCAAGAGAAAGATGGAAGACATGAGACCGAACAAGAAGGATGAAGCATCCTGGTCTTCCATAACACCTCAGCAGGGCCACAGGCTGATAGCATCCATGCCACACCGCACTGAGGCAGTAATTCATGCAAAAGGCCCCAAACCAAGTACTGAGTACATATGCATGATTATACTTTTCAGAGGGCTGACATTTCTGTATTTAAAATCCTTTTTTGTTTTTATTGATTTCATGTAATATTCTAATTTTACCAGAGATTTTGAATTTGGGGTTTTCATAAGCTGTACGCAATAATCATCGAAATTACATCAAATAAAGGCTTGAAATATCTCACTTTGCCTGTAATGAGTTTATATAATATATTAGTTTCACCTTTTAAGTTGAATTACTGAAATAAATGAACTTTTGCACGATATGCTAATTTTTTTAGTTTCACCTGTAAATCTGTATCCACAGAAATAATTAATATTAGTAACGATGAAAAAAATCATCAAAGCATGAAAAACATAGAAATCTAGTTTTTAGTCACAAAAAACAAACAACTCATGTTTACTAGAAACTTGTTTTGAAGCTGCGTGTAGCTAATGGATGAATCAAGAAGGCATGTTATGTACATTAAGTTAGTTAAGAGTCAAAAAAATATATAATGGGAAAAGTTAATATACCTGAATTAAAAGGGTTAGGGTCGCTTTTACTGGCCAGGTGTGGCAACTTGTTTTGACATCAGAAGATATAAAGTACTATATAGAAACCAGAGGATTTGCAACCTTTGTAATGAGAACCGTCTGGGAGACAAGTATCATCTTTAGTTTGAATGTACAAATGTAAGCATATTGACTTTCAGAGAAGTTTGAAAGGTATCTACGGTATCATCAAAGGCAGCGGTTCTCAAACCTTTTCACGTCAAGGACCCCTAAACTGACACAAATTAGACCACAGACCCCCATTTGATAAGAGTTTGTCCCATGATCGCTCATCTGATAGGACTTTGGCTTTTAGATGTTTTATTCCAAAAAGTGTATGAAATCCATGACCAGAATAGTGATATGTTCAGTCACTGTGGAACTTACGGATGGACTTGTAGTGAAAGAAAAACAGACCCCCTGGAACCTCCTCAAGGACCCCTTGGGGTTCCCGGACCCCACTTTGAGAACCACTGATCTAAGGGCGTCACTTTGTGTTGAAAAGTGGTGGGGACACCTGGGGCCCAGATTAGGGGTGTGAAGACACACATAGCTCGTGATACGCGACATCAGGTTCACGAGAACAAGACGGTGTTATCCTACATATCCCCAGTGCGTGAAATGAAATTTTGATCATTAAACACTTCATTTCATGCATTCTGGTGAACATTTCTGTACCAATTTATGGAGGAAATTCACAAAATTCAGATAGCTCGTTACAGTTCAAAATAAATATAATCGAATCTAAGTGAGTGCAGCTCTCAGGCATTCTGTGCTGCTTTCAGATCTGTTTCTCGTGTAGATCAACTTTTCTCCTGTAATATCGTCCCTGCTGAAGCAACACATATGCAGGCACGATTTAGTCTTCCCTCCTCTTTTCTCATGTTTACTGGGAGGGAACGGAAAACTTGGCCAAAAAGAAACCGTTTTAAGCAGTTGTTAAAGTTACCGATTGGTGTTGCACGTTTTTGGGTCATTTTATAATCAGCTGCTTGTTTGTTTTTTAGCTTAAACTACTTTTTTTGGACAATGCACATTTGTTTCGTCTATATGTTAATGTAGATGTTATGTTGCATTGCATGTTTTTTAATGTGCAAATAAACCTTTCTAAAAGCATTTTCATTTGTTATTTAACTGCAAGCTATATTTCATATATATATATATATATATATATTTGTTTTTTTTTTTTTTTTACAAATCATGCTTTTAAAAAGTGATGGGGACAAAATCAGCCATTTCAAAAAGTGGTGGGGACATGTCCCCAGCGTCCCCATTGTAAATGACACCTATGCACTGATTGAAGGTACCCATCTATGTACAACTGAATTTTATTGCTGCAATCAGACAAACCAAAAGTTATTGGCAAACTACAGTCTTTTTGAAGAATATTCTCACACAGAAAAAAATATATATATCAGACCCAATTTATGATTAAAGATTGTGATTTTTATTATACTAAATTGCATCTATAATATACAAACATTCACAATAATTTTGTACAATCACTTTGTGCTTCTCCCCCGGTACAGGAGTGAACTGTAAGACGACAAGTTTACATAAACTCTCTATATAATTTGTCCATGGTATACACAGCATAAAAATAAAGTCATACTCAACACCATTCTAATTTCTACATCTATCATTTACAAATTCACTTAAAAAATAATCATATGAAGACAATGTCAATATTATATTGTATGTTTTTCATCTATCTGAAGACACATGGTGGGGAGTTACACACATGCGCTGTGGTAGCTATATAACAATTTGGCAGGATATTTTTTTTATTTTCTATCTTTGTAATATTTAATATTAAACGCACACATTTTTTTTTTCTCCCCGTCTTTCCTTTTTCTTGAAGTCCGTCATAAACTCACGTTCTGTATCTCAGCATGACATGACGTTATCAAAATATCACACTTCCGCGGAAGATACCGTACACAAACACAAAAACCTTTACAACTGAACACGCAGTAAATATCATGATAACCATATGCAACAAGAGAACGAGTTGGATCTAATATCACACACACACACACACACACGCGCGCACACGCTCATGTAGGAAACACTGCGAAACACAACGGCTACGTGACTACACCTGCTAAAGGGGAAGGAGAGAACCATGTGCTCCACAATCATCAGCTCTGCTCACATGTGTGCGTGAATACAAAACACCCTCAGTATGGCGTTGGATTGCGTCGGCCAGCTATAAGCCACCATGAAGCAGGGCTGCAGCGCTCAGTGGCAGTCTGGGGTCGAGTCTCTGGCAGTCTAAAGGGGGAGGTGGGGGTCTGATCTGGGTCTTGGACCTGCCAGTTTGATTTCTGAACTTTCAGAAGGTTAGTCATTAACTTTGGTAAGTTTAGCAGTCGTTAAATCGACACGTCAAGGTTTGAGAATGTGCAGCAGGGCTTAGTTTAAGGCCTCATCATGCTTCAAACGTATTGCTCAACAGATACAGGGCTAGTGATCGATCTCATTAAGACATGTCTGCAGGCAGCCTCGTCAACGATCTCAGCTCTCCCCCTAGTGAGTTGTTGAGTTTTGGGAAGATGGTGGAAGAGTTTAAAGCTCTGAATGTCCTCAGTCACCATCGTCTTTTCTACATGTTAACATGTTTCTCCTAAATAACAGCAGATCTGATCTCACAGCATTACTGGCTAGCGATAAACGTGTGTAGTTATGCTGTAGAGAATAATGCAGCTGAATGACGTCACTTCTGACAAACTGTTCTCCACAGCAGAACCTGATGCTTGTTTCATTCATTAATACAACAACACGTTACTAGCTGAGATAACATGTTTAATAGATTGTACTCTGCAGGATTAATGGAATTATACATGATTAGTCTTTGTTTTGTGTATCGTCCATTGATGGCTTTGCTCTCTAAATATTGGCATCGACCCCTAATGACCGACGACTATATAGGGCTCCAAATAACAACTACACATATTACTAAATAATCTATAGTTTATTTCTGCGCTTATTCGACACATTTTTTTATTCTCTGAAATATCAGAAAATATCTGTCAACTGTGTCTGAAGGTTAAAATCAAGGGCAACTGGACTTCAGGTATCTTCAACCAAGTCCATTTGCCCTCGATTTAAACCTTCCTTGCATAAATATGACCTGGATGCCGCCCTGACATGCAGAGAGGGATTCACAGGAGCAAAACAAGTAGTGAGAGTAAATAAGGACAGAGTGTAACTGAAGTTATGAGGAGTAATTTTGTCTCTTGATGAGAACAAGCAGTACATCTTCCTTGTTCATCCTTCTTCAAAGCCGCATATTGTCAGTTTTGGTAGTTTGAAACACAAACCGACGTCTCGCACACGCTGACTGAGTCCCATTGTGTCAGCTGACAGCCAGCAAAGTAGAAACAGAGCGAGGTGTCACAATACAACAGCTCATCCTTTCAGCTGGCTGTCAGAACTACAGTCTGTTAGTGAAGAAATGTCATGCCTCTGATATTTGTGACCGTCGGTTATGCAGTGCCTTTAATCAATCGGACATGTATATCTTACTTAAAGTTTATCTTAAGCCTTAATATTTCATTCCTGATTGATTTGGCGACACCTGTGGTTACTGGTGGTTTATAAATCCAGGTGTACTGTGTGTGTACTGGTGTTTAAGTTTACAGCCAAACAAACTGTGGGCTGAGGGAATTCATCGTGTTGCTTTGTTTTAATAAAAGAAGGCTAAAGAAGACACCAACACAGTGATGCTACACTCAGGACCAAAACTTGAGTATAATATAATAAAACTCTCAGAGATTACAACTTGAAAGGATTTGCAGTTCTGAAACCTCCTGCTCTGTTTCTCTTTTCCATTAATTACAGTTGGGGTCAAAGAGGTAATTTACTCTCAGCACTTAGTTCCCACAGCGACGAACAGATTCTCTTTATTCAAAATATCATTCTTCCAAAGTCAGGAGGTCTTGTGTTTTGCTCAACTGTGTATTTAGATTAACTTCACAGGTCTCCATGCTGGGTACATGTCTGAAACTCTAACCCTGAGTTCTGATTTCCTTTTTACAAAACATGACAGAGCATATCGTTATGTTATCCTGCAATCATGGACTGACTGTGAAACAATGGGTCCCTGTACACAGACATGTAAAAGGCCAAATGCAGTTGTTTTGTGTCTGTTTGTGGTTGTGTTGTGTCTGTTTGTGGTTGTTTTGTGGTTGTTTATGGTTGTTTTGTGTCTGTTTGTGGTTGTTTTGTGTCTGTTTATGGTTGTTTTGTGTCTGTTTGTAGTTGTGTCTGTTTGTGGTTGTTTTGTGTCTGTTTGTGGTTGTTTTGTGGTTGTTTATGGTTGTTTTGTGTCTGTTTGTGGTTGTTTTGTGTCTGTTTATGGTTGTTTTGTGTCTGTTTGTAGTTGTGTCTGTTTGTGGTTGTTTTGTGTCTGTTTATGGTTGTTTTGTGTCTGTTTGTAGTTGTGTCTGTTTATGGTTGTTTTGTGTCTGTTTATAGTTGTGTGTGTTTGTGGTTTTTTTGTGTCTGTAGTTGTGTCTGTTTATGGTTGTTTTGTGTCTGTTTGTAGTTGTGTGTGTTTGTGGTTGTTTTGGGTCTGTTTATTGTTGTTTTGTGTCTGTTTGTAGTTGTGTGTGTTTGTGGTTGTTTTGTGTCTTTAGTTGTGTCTGTTTATGATTGTTTTGTGTTTGTAGTTGTGTGTGTTGTGGTTGTTTTGTGTCTTTAGTTGTGTCTGTTTATGGTTGTTTTGTGTCTGTTTGTAGTTGTGTGTGTTGTGGTTGTTTTGGGTCTGTTTATTGTTGTTTTGTGTCTGTTTGTAGTTGTGTGTGTTTGTGGTTGTTTTGTGTCTGTTTGTAGTTGTGTGTGTTTGTGGTTGTTTTGTGTCTGTAGTTGTGTCTGTTTATGGTTGTTTTGTGTCTGTTTGTAGTTGTGTGTGTTTGTGGTTGTTTTGGGTCTGTTTATTGTTGTTTTGTGTCTGTTTGTAGTCATGTGTGTTTGTGGTTGTTTGGGTCTGTTTGTGGTTGTTTTGGGTCTGTTTGTAGTTGTGTGTGTTTGTGGTTGTTTTGGGTCTGTTTATTGTTGTTTTGTGTCTGTTTGTAGTTGTGTGTGTTTGTGGTTGTTTTGGTTCTGTTTGTGGTTGTTTTGTGTCTGTTTGTAGTTGTGTGTGTTTGTGGTTGTTTTGGTTCTGTTTGTGGTTGTTTTGTGTCTGTAGTTGTGTCTGTTTATGGTTGTTTTGTGTCTGTTTGTAGTTGTGTGTGTTTGTGGTTGTTTTGGGTCTGTTTGTGGTTGTTTTGTGTCTGTTTGTAGTTGTGTGTGTTTGTGGTTGTTTTGGGTCTGTTTATTGTTGTTTTGTGTGTGTTTGTGGTTGTTTGGGTCTGTTTGTGGTTGTTTGGGTCTGTTTGTGGTTGTTTTGTGTCTGTTTGTAGTTGTGTGTGTTTGTGGTTGTTTTGTGTCTGTAGTTGTGTCTGTTTATGGTTGTTTTGTGTCTGTTTGTAGTTGTGTGTGTTTGTGGTTGTTTTGTGTCTGTTTGTAGTTGTGTGTGTTTGTGGTTGTTTTGTGTCTGTAGTTGTGTGTGTTTATGGTTGTTTTGTGTCTGTTTGTAGTTATGTGTGTTTGTGGTTGTTTTGGGTCTGTTTATTGTTGTTTTGTGTCTGTTTGTAGGTGTGTGTGTTTGTGGTTGTTTTGGGTCTGTTTGTAGTTGTGTGTGTTTGTGGTTGTTTTGGGTCTGTTTGTAGTTGTGTGTTTGTAGTTGTGTGTGTTTGTGGTTGTTTTGTGTCTGTTTGTAGTTGTGTGTGTTTGTGGTTGTTTTGGGTCTGTTTGTAGTTGTGTGTGTTTGTGGTTGTTTTGCATCTCTTTTAGTTGCGTTGTGTCTTTTTGTGGCCATTTGTCTGTAGGATAGGATTTTTTTTTGTAGATGTTTTTATAAACTTTGCAACAAGAGTTTTCCTTATCCGAATCAACGGTCAAAGGATAGAGGGTGTCGTAAACAGTAAAGCACCTTGAGGCAAATTTGTGATATTGGGCTGTATATGATTAAAACTCACTTCTAGACCACCTGACACTCGGGCCCCTTGGCCTTTATGCCCCTTCAGTAATCCTTCCATGCCTGTAATACACTACCACTTTTCTTTTGAAGTAACTACGGTAACGTCTGTTTCTGTCACTTGTTTGTGAGGAGGCAATTAAGCAAGCCGCACCTACATTTGGAGTGCACACGTTTTAAAGCCTTTATGGTAAATCCACTGACAGGCAGGTTAGAGACTTTATCCTGTCAGTTTGTCTCTTTACAAAGACAAGTGCTGCAGTATGAGAGTCCTGCCTGAAGAGAGGCTGTGAAGTCTTCATGTTACGCCGTACGAGAACCACGTACAACATTATTTACAGCAGCTGGAAAAACACTAAATAAATTTGCTGACTTTTGTTTCATCACCATTTATAGCTCTACAATGGGTTTATGATCAAATAGTTTACTAGAGCACAATGTTGTTTACAAGAGTGCAAAGTTCTTCATACATTGCCTCTTCATTTTGCATCAAATTAATGCATTTAACTTTAAAATGTACAAAGTTTTCTTCCGGGGGGGGGGGGGGCGCATGCCCAAAAGAGGGTCCGAGGCCCACCAACCATAATCTCTTAAAATCCTGTGGGAAACACTGAGCAGTGAGGCATCGGCTGAAACACCATTAAGAGCACTGTGGCTGCTACAGTAGATCAGAAACACATTATATAAACAGAGCGTCTTGTTCAAAGCTAAAGAACTGATTGTACGAGGCAGGAGACATTTTAAATTAACCTGGAAGTTAAGCAGCAGCATGTTAGCTCCTGTATCTTATCTGACGAAACAGCTGGAGGAAACTGTGAAGAACAGATTTGAAAATGAGGTCACAGCAATTAAGGATTGTGCTCATAATTGTGTCCTAGCAAGTGCTGAGATCATCTGGATTTGCAGACTTGAATTTGTTTTGTGCACACAAGACAAGCTTGTGACTTCAATGACCTCAAACCCTGACGTGGGGGGTCAGCGACTCAGTTATCCCTGATTTCTTGTCCTTCGGTCTTTCAGTCTTAGAGGATTTGGGCAAAATGGAGCATCATTCAGCCAGTTTGATCATTACATTGATTCACCAATGACAAAAAAGGGAGATGGTTTTTTTTCGTAATTATGACTTCTACATCTTGTTTTTTCATCTTGTTTTTATGACTCTGTATCCCCTAATGTCAAGATGAAAATATTTTCTGGTAATTAAACGATGCAAAAGTCATAATTATTAGAAAACATCGCCTGTTTTTTCCTTTGGTGAATGCAATGTGCCTCTGTGCTGTTCATTTGCATTTAAAATAATGTGAATTTAGTTACTGTCCTAATCCTGCTTGGGGCTCTGGCGTAAACATAATTTCAAGTGTTGTAATAAAGTGTGTTAAGGAAAGTGCAGCTGTCTGTACGTCAGACAGTTTATTGGGCATGTGTCAGTCTTGGACTCGACCCGCTCCTGTTAAGTCAAATGATTTCGGCTGCAGCCCTACCTGGGAGTTGTGCACTGGTGGTGTAGCCCTAAAGCGTCTTTCAGCACTAAGTAAGGCCAGTAACAGTTAGTGGGCTATAGGCATAATTGTATTCGAGTGGACTCACTATTACTAGCTATTTGAGAAGCAGCCTATCTGATGTTTCGGCAGGTGACTCGGTGAAAGACTGCGACCTGTAAACTTGTGAACATGAGCAGCTGTGGTGCTGTTAAGTTTCTCGTTGTGCTACACTTTGAGAGGCGAGGCAGTGCTGTGCTTACCTGTGGACCCTGCTTCCAGCTCCTTTCAGCAGTGCACTCTCTACAAAATCACATTTGGCGTCTTTCTGTGGTTGTGCAACCAAAGTGAAGCGCGGCAGTCACCCATGATCAGGACGCTTGTACGTCTCAACAACTTTGGGGGTGTTTCTGGTGCAAGTTTGGAAGATGCATCTCAACCTGCAGGGAAAGAGCACCACACACACCACGTGCCTCAAAACACTCGCACCAGTTGTTGTCTGTAAAGCGCACACAACAGCGACATCTTGATGCAGGTTGTCAGTATTCGCCAATGTCCTAATATCAAGCGTAAGTGCCTATTAACTCTTCGTAAGAGTTTGTAAATCTCACCAGCACAATCTTTCACTCCTTTAATGTTTTTTTGCATCTCTGCAGATCCTGGCTACTGCACCTACCGTACTTACGGCACCTCTGGTATGTGCTATAAGTCTCAATTGATGCATGTCAAATGACGCAAGACTTCATGACCCAGCCGATGTGTGTTGCACTTACGCTTAACGATTTTCTTTTATACTTGTTCTGACTTTGAATATGACGTTATTTTATCAGTTTTGAACCCTCTTCCTTGACAGGATCAACTCATTAACCGAACAGCAGGTCTGCGCGATACCTCGTTGAGACTTGCTTCCCTGTCTATTCTCTATTATAATCTATTTATTTCAATGTAATCACTAAGATCAGAGGATTCCCTCGCAGGGACAAAGTGAATCCGTAAATATCTTTCCTGTCAAGTTTTGGTGAAGTGTGACACACAAATTTTCATGACGGAGCTGACCTTTGGCTGTGTTGTGTCTCCTCTGTCAAGATTAGGGCTGACCCCGAATAGTCGAAGATTTGATGCATCATTGGGTGGAGCATGTAGCGAGGATCATGCCATTTTGCCGATATGGGGGTGCTCAATGTCTGAGTTTTACACAGAGCCACCAGTTTTACCCCAGTAAGTTAATATGCTGACTATTACAATATAAAATTCAATAATTAATGCTCTAAATAAACATGTAAAAAGAAAAAAGCTCTTAAGAAATGTTTTTAAAGTGCATGAATAAATCCAAAATTATAACCCTAACCCTTAAGGAAGGGGGGCGTAGGCGTATGTGTGTAGTGGCAGAATAGGAACACCTGCTGAAGAGGCCGAGCTCCAGCTTCACCGGTGTTGTGCCGAGTTGTCCGCACCTCGCGGGACACTTGGATCATTTGTCACCATTGATGAACCACACAAAGAACATCATATTGTTTTTAAATAGTACTTGAAATAGACCTGTGAGGAACAGCGGCGTGCATGCATGTGTCGGCCGCACAGCACGCACGCAAAACTCGGCACAAGATCGGGGAATGGCAGGTGAGCTGAGAGAAAAGGGTCGACGATAAGCCTCAGTTTAGTCAGTCGACTCTAGGCAAGACTTTTCTGATTCGACTATCCTTAGTCGGGGACAGCCCTAGTCAAGACTATAAACTGCTCCACAAAATGGTTTGCAGACAATTATGAGACACGAGACGATGATTCAAATACGCCTCTTGAGTAAAATGTCAACAACCAAGCTATACAACTTGGAGAACAAATGTAACTGACAAGTGCGTGTTAGCTGTTAATTCCTCAGCTACAGTGGTTCACCAACTAGCCCTGCGAGTATTCCCAAGTCACCAAGCTTCTAGCCACTTCTAAACCCGGGAATCTAGCGTGAATTTCATTAAACATCAGTCGCAGTTAGCATGCATGCCTTTCCTCACAGCGATATGTACCAACAGTGGCTCTATAACCTTTTCAAAGACGCCAAATAAAACTTTGTCAGGAGTACGCTGCACCCTTACTACTCCACCTATGTAAGGGTCGGATACTTGGGGACGGGAAGGGGATGAAACTTGCTATTTAAATGTTAGCTAGCAGAAATCGCAGCAGGCGTAGTGATTATTGACTGCTCACAAACATGGACTGAAGCAGAGAGAGTGTGTTGAGGAATGTTACAATAGTTAATCTGTTTTTTTTTTTCTTTTTCTCGAGAGCTTTGGGGAGCGGACGAGGCAACAGCAGAGGGATAAACGGGCGACGGACGATCAGCAGCACTTCTGAGGTAGCTGGGCGGGCTTGTCGGTCAGTCTGGTGGTCTTCATGCCGGGAGCCGCCGGCGCCTCCACGTCCACGCGCTCCGACATCTTCACGCAGATGATGTCCACCAGGCGCTCGAAGACCTGCCGCACGTTGATGTTCTCCTTGGCGCTCGCCTCGTAGTACTCAAAGCCTGCAGGAGGAAACAGAAGTGTCAAACAGTTTAAGGTGAATATATGCAGCTTCATTTAAGCCGTTTTTCCATTACCAGCACAGGCTCCACTCGCCTCGGTTTTGGCCCGCCGTCCTCCATTATATATTGCAGATAGCACCCTTCAATGTGGCTGGTCGTCATCGCAACGCCACACACAGCTTTCTCTTTTTCAAGTTAAAACGTTTAAACCTTCCTCAGAATGTAAAGACAGATAAGCGGTATGAAAACCTTCCAGCTGCCGTTGTTGCTGCAGCGGTCTGTGTGACGGCGGGAGCACTGTTTTGATGCGTCATCACTTTTCCCTTTCTGCTGCTGGCCTCTATCTGCTGCGCGCTGTGATGACGCAGTGATTAGTGAATATTCTCTCTGACCAATCAACAGTCTGCTGTGTTTTCACGTCACATTTTAGTATCGCCTCAGCTCGCTTGGAAACTCGACGGAGATGATAGGAAACACAGTACCTGGTAGCAGGTACAGGTACAACTTTTCCCCCATAGAAAACCAAAAAAGTCGAGTTGAGCTGTTTCCATTCTCTGGAAAAGGGGCTTTAGGCAGTCGTAATGAAAAAAGGAGGTTTTGTTATATGAACATTTAGGTAGTCTTGCAGTCTCCAAATGGTTTCTACTTGGCTATATATGTTTATGCTCAGTTGCTCCACCTTTGCCTGCACAAGAGCAAATCACGCTTTAAGCCGGTATTTAGTGGCTATGAATCCTTTTTGCAGGTTTGAATCAGACCCGCTCACATTCTGTCTGTCTTTGGCTGTCCTCTCACCACGTCGTAGACGTTGCTTTGTTTGAAGCCAAAAGGTTTGGAAACGAGTAGCCTAAACATTTACAACATGATCTATAGGCTTTAGGCTAGAGAGTGTTTTCTGACTTAACTTGGGTGTGTTTATTTATTTATTTGAGCATCTCAAAGTGTGTTTACTATGCTTAGACTCTTCTTCCCACTTCACAAATATCTACTTGTATCCTGTGATCCCAGCCCACATGTTTGAACGTGAGGCTGGATAAATGCCTCCGATATGAATCCAATATCTGAAACTAGTTCAGTCACGTTGTGCTGCATGGGCTATGTCTTTCGTAATATGATTTTGCAGGAGCAAACTCTCATTTCGAGACGTAAATAGCTCCCAGCAGTAGAGCTAAAACAAGTGGTATGCTTTCTTAACTAAAAAAAAATTATATTATTTCAGTATTCCTCAGCACTCACACCCCAGAGCGAAGTCATTCTCTCCTGGAGTTTACCTGGTGAACCTGTTGAATTCTGCACAGGAATGATAAAATAAATGAAAATGTACTATACAGGGTTGTGTTATCTGCCCCATTCAGACAGGATTTATGTCTCCAGGGAAGGTGAAGTGATTTTAACATTTCTTGCACTGGTCAGGGATTTTAATCCCGTTTTGAGCTGAGTATGTAGGTCACTTTTCACCCCCCGCTTTTCTGTGAATTCACTGCTCCTCCTGCCATTTAAATCCCGTCTGGAGAATCGTCCTTATATTTTAAAGTGGATCTCTGTGATTTTTCTGCAGGAGGAGCTGCTTATCTGAGAGATGGAGACATGCTAACACACATCTAATTAGGACGAGGCAGTTTTTCACAAATTTGTTTTATTATCTTGGCAAATTATCACTATTTAAAGAAGCTGAATTAGCAGTTAGCAGCTCCTGTTTGCAGCGTACCCAACGACGTACAGAGAACTATCACTGGATTACTCTGACGAAATCTTAAAGATTCTGAAGCAAGCGTCTTTTTTCTAGGATTTCTAAGCAGGTTTATTATTGATTTCCTTGGGAAGTGTAAGTCACACTGAATGATCTCAATATGTGTATCATGTACACTTTTTGACTTAAATTTACCTCACACGTGTTCTGTTCTGCTCTTTATTAGACTCGGAAGAGAAACTCATCGGTTAGTCGTCATCCTCAAAGCCTTTTCTAATGTAAAAAGTGAAACTTATTCTTTGAAACTGTAAATAATAAATCATGAACTTAACCTCGGTGCTGATTGTCCAATTACTTATTATGCGTCAGTGTATCTTAACAAATCAACAGTGTAGAAAGTAACAGTAACAGTTTATTTTTTGTTCCTGGGCTAACTAGCTCTACACCACAGCACAAGAGCAATGCTGCTCCTTTATATCCAAGTCTTCTACATGGATCATCAACTGGCAAAGATGCTGGCTCTTTTGCATCAATACACGTCACTGAGTTACCATTATATCATGATTATATACCGCTGACCAGCGAAAGCATTCATTTCAGTCTGTAATATCGATGTTGGTGATGAGAAATGAGAAGCTGGTTGTGTTCACCTCCGTCTGAAATCATCGACCCATTGTTGGAAAACTGATCACAAACTGTGAGCGGTAAACCTGCGTGCAAGAATGGAACAACTACGTTTTCTGAATTCTCACACGTCCAATTTGGCTTCTTAATCAAAGCAGCGACAGCAAAGGCTGGTATTTACATGGTAAAAATGCATTAAAAGTCATCAATCAACAGTGAACACCCATTTTATCACAATCTATATTCCCTAAGGAGATCAGGTGGTATATATACACTCATTTGTGCATTTCCCCCTTTTGCTGTGGTGTCTAACACCACGGCAGTAAGCAAGCAGTAGGCTATAAGGTACAGTGAAATATCAAAACACAGAACGAATTTAGTCTTATTTCTTGGTATTTGTGTCACGTTGCCCACATATGCAGTGATGATTGCTGCACAAGGAACCCTTTCATAATGTATATGGCTGCCCAATCTTGAGGTTCTATTTGATCACGTGACAAGACAGGAGCAGAGGGTTGCAAAGCTCCCAAATAAGATTGACATTGTCAAATATTTTGCTCAATGCAGGCTCGTCGGATGCCTTTCAAATAGGTGAGTAAATTCACAAGGGCTTTTTCAGTGGATTTGGTGCGGCTGCTGTTTTACAGGCTGTTATGTAAATGCCCTATATTTGTATAGCGTCTTTCTAGTCTTTTCGACCACTTTTACACTACATCTGCATTCACCATTCACTCACATTCATTCACTGAGCCGGGGATTGAACCGCCAACCTTCCGATTAACGGGCAACCCGCTCTATCTCCTGAGCCACAGGGGTCAGGGCTCGCCGCTGAGTGGCCCTTAGCTTATCTGGCCTGTTCTCAGAACATGTGTTTCAACATAATGTCTTGCCTCTCTGTTGAAGAGGAATGTGGTTGTCATGATTCGGGAGGTTATTCTACTGAAAATGCCCGAAAAAGTGTGCGTCATTTCAGCACACTGAGCGTGAAACGTTTCAGGATTCTGACAACGACAGGACCTGCCATGCTCCTTATAACTTTCTCTTTGACTTCTGTACTTTCCAAAAGTCTAGTTGACACAGTCCGACTCTAAAATCCATCACATGATGGTACTTTACTTTAGACTGCTGCGTCGAGCTGCTGCAGTGTGTGTGTGTGTTGGAGACAGACGCACACAAAGAGGACAGTTGAATTGAAGATTTTAATATGGAAATAAATCGATTTAAGGAGCTTTAAATGAGGTATTTACTGCATCTAATCTTATCAGTTGTTAAACCGTGGCAAAACGAGGAAATAAGGCACATAAATTTGCCAATATAGCGTTCCCTTGTGGACAAGAACGCAGTGTATTTCGTAACTGTGTAGCCCAAGGGCCCCATCATAACAGCTTGCACTGGGGCCCTTTGTTACTACATTACGCTACTGGGAGCTGGTGAAAGCCAGACAAAATGTTGTTTTGGTTACTGAAACGTTAAATTTATTTTATTGTTTCTTATTCAAAGCAGCGAAAAACTATCTAGATGACACATGATACATTCTCCTGGAGGCTCATCCTCACACCCCGCTGGAGGTCGTTTTGGAAACATGAACCTCTCTCTGGATATCAGAGTTCTGTTAAGCTCTGAAACCTGAGCTGAAGAGTATTTTAGTAGCTCTCATGCAGCAACATCTCACCTAACTGGTCGGCGAGGTGTTTTCCTTTCTCTGGAGGTACGATTCTCTCCTCGTCCATGTCGCACTTGTTGCCCACCATGATCACCTGGGCGTTGTCCCACGAGTACGTCTTAATCTGAGTGGCCCTGAAAGCACATTTTAAAACATTTCACTTGAGTATCAAACACACAGAAGAATAGCTTCCTGGGTAATCGCGTACCAGTCCTGGACGGCGTTGAAGGACTCCTCGTTGGTTATGTCATACATGAGGATGAAGCCCATGGCGCCGCGGTAGTATGCCGTGGTGATGGTGCGATAACGCTCCTGCCCCGCCGTGTCCTGGAAACAAAAACAGCCAGTCACACATCAGCGTTACTCCGTAATAAAACTCAAAACTCCACCACTGCATTCACTGTCAAGAGGCTGTTCGCATTACACCCAACAATACCGAAATATCGGACAGAATGAACACCCTACTGATCATTTATTTATTCTAGCAGGAAGGTCAACAAAGGAGGTTATCGTTTTGTGCAAGGTTTGGCCTGAAGTTGGCCCTAGAGGACTGTTGAGAGTTCATCCTCTGGGGACAATGGGTGTGCTCAGGAATGAAATGGAGTTTGATATTTCCTGTGTACGAGTGGACATCTTGTGGGGATGGTGGGGCTACAGGAAAGGCCAGGGGAAGCACTGAAATGGTTCACACCATTCCTGAAGCTGGAATTCTGCTTCTCCGGCTGCAGGTAGGCAAAGGTGCACGAGGGGTCACTCTGATGCTGTTGTGGTTAGTCAAGTGCAAACACAGGTAGGAGGGATTTGGACCCCCAAATGCAGCACACTAGGTAGAGAAACTTACAACAAAAGAGGCAGGCAATCCAAGGAACCAACGATCCAAAGTGCACGAGTAACAGGAATCCAAAGAAAATGAACATTTAAAAAGCCAGACAAGATACAAGAGGCAGAACTACTACAAAATAACACAGGAAGTAAAGTGCAAATAAACACACAAGGACAAATTTAACAAATTTAACAGAAAACATGGAACAAAAGGTATAACTTACCATAAATAAATATTCAAACCACAACCTGTTTGCATGGCTGTTTCTTTAACTCCATTTATTCTCACAGCTAATATCATTATTTCTCTGCACAAAAATGTTGGACAGAACAACAGGCAACCTCGTAGTGTTTAAACCGTTGGACACTGTGTCCTGTTTACAGTGAGGGATAAGCCCATAGCCCAACACACTAAGCTGGGATATTATCTGTTATATTCTGGCACAAAAACCTGATTGATTTGGCTAATAGTGGAATTGCTGTTTCCATAGAGACGCAAGCATTGTTAAGACTGCAAGTCAGACGGTCTCCATCAATTTGAAAGCATCAATTTTCTCAGTGAAAAGCACAAAAAACAAATGTCACTTAAACATTTACATGCATGTGTGAATATTTAAACTGGTGCTGAGAACAGACATCTGAATGACACATTAAACATTTAGGACAAAAGAAATTATTAAAAATACTAATCCTGGTCTGAAAGACACATCCAACACACACACACACTATAACACACCTGATCTCACTTCACAGTAACACAGAGATGTGTTGAAGTCACTTTACCACCTTTCACCCCTTTATCACCCTTCCTCAGTCTGCGGTCTCGTCATTAGTCGACTCTACAGCTCACTGACTGACTGACTGTGTGTTCCGCGCCTGTACGTGGTGCATATGTCATCATTATCATCGTGTTTACAGCTGCAGAAACTGCTGGTGCTGCTTTTACTTTACAGAAACAACGCAAAAGGGGGGGGGCTGCCTTGGTGTGTTTGGGTTTTGGGTACCGGTGAGATAGCCCGACAGTAAATATGGACACTTTGAGATGGCCACAAATAAAAAAACACAAGGTACCCTTCAGTGTCTGTATGGGACACCCTTGATCTTTCAAGTAACTCCATTGTAACCCATCCACTGTTATGTAATGTACTTATTTCAACCCAAAACACACACTGCATTTATAACCTAAACATACGGACGTCTCGTACGGACGCTGAAGGTTTCCATGTGCAGACTGGCCATCTAGAATTTTGGGAACAATCCCGTATGGCTGGCCGGAGTTTTTATTTTTCAGTTTCTTATGTTCAACTTTTAAAGAGCCGTGACTGGTGTTCTGTCGCTTTATGCTACCTATCGAGATGTGCTACTTGGCAGTTCTTTGCGTGCCTATTGGTTAGTGTTAAGGTTCACACTACACAACTTGCCGTCTAGTGACAGGAGTCTTGAAGGCGTTCACACTACGTGGCTGATTGGTGACACACTACGCTGGTCTCCAAACCACATTTTGTCAAGAAAACACACGTGAAATGTGAAACAGGAAATGAGACGAACCTACACACGAAACAGCTGTTGTTTGTTATTATAAAGAGTAATTATAAAGACAAAGAATCTGTGTGAAAGAATGGATCAGCAAACGCAGGTATCAGGGATCATCTGAGCTACAGAGAGCTGGAGGGGAGTAAAAAGTGTTTTGCAGTGAAAAAGTAGCTGCCTGCTCTCATAGGCTGGATGTGGATGTCGAGTCGGCCGACTCCTCCAGATATTTGGCGTGCTAGATATCTGGCAGACGTCGGCGATGTGTCAGAAATGCGCCAGGGAGACGTTTTCATGCGTCGTTGTGTAGTTCACACATAACGACTGGCGATCAATTGCTTTGATTTTTATGCACACACACAGCTCTATTTTATAGGACTGCATTGTAGTTTTTGATTGTATTTAAGTATTTTGGCACTCTGACTGACTCAGGTTTGCCTGACCTGGTCTTGTTCAGTGCAGTAGTGCCTTGCTTGTACAAACTCAAGAGGTGGGTGTCAAGTCCCGGGCTGAATTTCAGTGCCAGTACATCCCAGTCCATGTCCGTCAAATACATATGCTTTGTCCGGCTTTCAGTATTTGACACCCTGAGATGAGAACGTGTTGGTTGAGATGGTGAAATTTATCTTATAAGTGAGTCATCTAAAATAAAAGCATCAGTTCCATCACACCACTTTAGTAATAGATTCATTAATGTAAAGTTTTTTCAGACAACCCAAAACCTTCGTAACACTCTGAGACAGGATTTTAAAATGACCGTAATTGAATCTTTCGTTGTGATGAACGCTAACAAGGTCAACAGATCCCAGGAAAGATTAAAGTCAGGCCTTGAAAAGTGGCATTGCATCGCAGTCTAGCACAATATTTCTAAGTTCGTGCCACAGTCTTTTCTCTCACTAAAAAGTATCAGTGCAGCCGCAGTATCAGCATGGATTTGGTGGTGTAGAAAAGGGAGAATCGGGAACGGATTTTGTTTTTCTCTGAAATTCTTATGTGTTACGTTTGGCATTCCCTCTGACCCACAGAGAGAGGCTGAGATGTGTTATGATAGTGTTATGTAGTAGACCACAATGCGTGTGGGCGAACCCTCAGCTGAGACTGCTCAGGCTCAAGTCTGTTTCATTGCAGCTACATAGATAATTAAACAGAGCTCTCTCACTGACTGCTGCTGAGGCTGTAGCTGAGATTATGACTGCAGCTGCAGGATGACGGAGCTTTGGCTGTCCACCGGTTTCAGTAAAATAATCTCTGCTGGCAAACCTAAAATGTGTCCTCTGTTGTGTGAGCTGTTTGAAAATCATAATCAGCTTTATTTGCCAGGTATCTATACACATACAAGGAATTTGACTCTGGATGTGATCTACAGGTGCACATACACAGACAAGCATACATGTACACAGTGTGATGAGTGCTGGAATAAATAAGTATTATGTGCAGGTGTTACGTGCATGAGGTAGGTGGATTTGGTATATAGTATATATAATATAACAGTATGAACAGCACTGAAATAGAGAATGGTGAATAAATAAGTGATCTTTTCTGCAGTCCTGACTGTCCGTTGTAGTCTGCTCCTGTCCTTTTTGGTGGCAGATCCAAACCAGACAGTGATGGACGTGCAGAGGACAGACTGGATGATGGTCTATGTAGAAGTGGATCAGCAGGTCCTTAGACAGCTTGAGCTTCCTGAGCTGGCGCAGGAAGTACATCCTCTGCTGGGCCTTCTTGATGATGGTGTCCGTGATGGGCTCCCACTTCAGGTCCTGGGACACAGTGGATCCCAGAAACCTGAAGGATTCCACAGCAGACACAGGGCTGTTGAGTATGGTGATGGGGGGCAGAGTGTGGGGGGCTGCCAGCCAGTCATTGAGTACCAGCAGAGGTGGGGGATGGTCTCCTGAGATTAGTGAGGGTCTGCAGGCCTCCCCACACTGACGCAGGATCGCTGGCTGTGAAGCTGTTTCCTAGCTTTTCAGCGTAGCATCTCTTTGCTGCTTTGACCTCTTTAGTCAGACTGTTCCTGGCCTGGTTGTACAGGACTCTGTTCCCACTTCTGAAGGCCTCCTCTTTGGTCTGACGAAGCTGTTTCCCTCTGAACCAGGGTTTTAGGATAAAAGAGTGCTTGTTTTGTTGGCCGGGTCAAGGGAGTTTGGTATTTCAAATGATGACACTGTCTTCTGTATTTAAATGAAAAATCAGGCTCATCATGTCAGCAACGTGCTAATGTTGCGTCTAAAGTTGAAGACAATGTGACAAATCAGGTCGTTGAAAATTATGTATATTATTCAGATGATCAAAATAAATAAAAAACTCCAGGGACATATGGGTCTGGATTTTGTGCAGCTAATCAGACACTATCTCGTTCTTTAATCTCACAGGGACCAAACAGCTCGACTGGTTTCAGCCTCATCTCCTCTAAGACGCTTAACAATCTTATCTGAAACACAGATCGATCCGCCGCCGCAGATCGCTACTTGACTGCAACAAACCAGCTGAGCCTCAATGTGACTTTCACACCCGTCAACAACGACTCCCAAAACGTTCAGCCGCTATCCTCCACCATTTTACCCTCACACCACTACAGCTGGTCTGGATGCAGTCATTCTGCTAAATTGATCTCTTTTGTGCTTTGCTTCCTCTGCACTCATTCAGCAATCCCTGGTTGGCTCGTCCTTTTTCTTGTGGGATATGGCGAGTGCTCGTTTGCATTTAATTAATTGGGATTTGATGTGGAGTGCTATTACTGTGTGTGTGTGTGTGTGTGTAGTAGCAACAACATTAATCATGACGGGTGATAGGCAGAGCCTCAGGCAGTGACTGATTCATCTCAGTTTAGTTAAAAGCAGAGAGAAACGTGTTTGATTTACCACTGCAGTCCAGTAACATGGTATGTTACATGTTAAGTATGTGGACAGCTGAATATTGCAGCCATAAGTGACTGTGACACCATGTTCATCAATGTGCTGCCTCCACTCTTC